TACCGGATAAAAAGCAGCATACGAGTTTTTGAGGTAATCTCTGAGTTTTATTACACGACTTCGAAATCAATAGTGTCCACAATGACGCGTTCACTTCATTCTCATTTCAATAAATTCATGAATCGTTTGTAGCTTCGCCTATGATGCATGAGATGTGTACAAGAAACTCTCCTTACGTAAGATGTAATACTTCTGATTCTTCACGATGTTTCATCTGCGCCTGACGGAACAGATTGTAGCATCACGTATGCAACCATATCTCGGCGAATGTTAACTCGCACTTTTGCCTGTGCGACGCCAAACCCAAGGTGGGAGAATCTCACTAAGTAAGTGTCATCGAAGCTGATGTCACGGTCAGTGAATGCGGACGCTAGTACTTGTGGACCTCGGAGATTTCACTGAAGAGGTGGCGGTGTTGCATTCTCTCTTATGCAGCAACTTTCTTTGAGGTTCAAATGTTATTTCCAGAAAATATCATTCGAGTATGTAGGAATCTGAGGCACTCTGATGGTTTTACCTTTGACATTAGCATAAATATTTTTCTTCTTCTTCTTCTTCTTCTTCTTCTTCTTCTTATTATTATTATTATTATTATTATTATTATTATTATTATTATTATTATTATTATTATTATTATTATTATTATTATTTAATTTCGTCGCACACTTTCAGATCATAGATTTGTTTTTCTATTTGCATATATATTTACAGAACTATATTACGTTCAGAAGGCCTTTAAGTGTTGCAGCTTCTGAAAAAGCGCTGGGTTCAGAAAACGAGTTTGGTTTGCCGATGCGACATCTGCTGTGAAAAAAATTAAATTAATATTCTGTTTTTTTCTTATCAATAAAGTCTCACCGTTTTCGATAAATAAGATCTCCTTTTAATTTTGAAAAATCCTACGGGAAGTAATCGGGTAACGTGCGTGTGTCCGTCTGTCCCCCCATTTGGGCTACTTCCGGTGCGCCGCATAACGCAAACGAAGTGTTATTCGACACGACTCGATGGGGAACTGACCATTTATTTCAGATCTTTCTAATCTAATTAAAAACCTGAAGTTAATAAATATGAAAATCTATTTTTTCAAATATTGCTAATCTCACGCTTTTTTAAAATTTATTCTCATTTATTTATTTTAAACTTTTACTCATTTTTCAACTATTTATAGTTGAAATGTCGGGAAGAGAATCTGGAACTCAAGAAAACGTGCGCAGATGATCTTCTCTCCCATATGTCACATACAGCTTTTACTGTTTTTTGACTAAATAAATCTAAAAGCATTTTTAAATCTGTTCAAAACGTCGGAGACGCCATAGCTATTTTGCCTATTTATTTATTCATGTTTTGTGTCTCTAATACAAGTGTAACATGTGTAATACGAATCAGAGTAATATATATTGAATAGAGGGTTAAAATTCAATAATACAGTACGGCGAATCACTATCACAAAATGTGACTTGGAATTGTTTAGTCATTGCTCTTACATTACTATTGCAATATTATGAATGAAATAGAATGTTTCAAATACACTTCAAAATATTCCATTAGTACGTGATGAAATGGTCCCAAAAACACGACCAGCGATCCAAAAATTTCCTTTTATAATTTCCCTTAAGAATTTCCATTAGGAGAGCAATTTACACATTCTCTTCGATATCCACGTTGCCAGGAGAATGTCCATGTCTAAGAAAATATTCGACATGTAATTGAAAGCGAGTGTCTTCTCACACCTAAAACAATGTTCAAACGGGCATCCTTCCCTTTATTAATTATTAGATATCTTTTTAATCCGAGGGTAAATAACAAATTATCGCAACTCTTCCGCGAATCTTCTAGAGACGCGTGGAGCAGCTGCCTTATAAAGGTATGTGGGTCTCTAGGCAACCCAACCGGTTTCGTATTATTTCTTGTAGGAGCCTCCTGTTTCTTACCGTACGTTGTTTCCCTGAATGATCGTTAAGATTCTCGCCCATTGGATCGTGGGCCATCGCGTCATTGTTATCGCTGTAGGTTGCCAAGGGCATTTTGACGCGAAAGATCCAGCTGCTCGGGGAGCCAGGTTACATCAAACGGAATACTATTTATTTTAGTGTAATGTAATTCTATATTATTTTTTGTATGTTTCTGAAAGGAAATACTTTTAAAATGACCCCGGTTTCTACTAATATTGTATTCAAGCAGACAATGTTTTTTAAATTTTTATTTTACCTGACTGATGTAAATTGGAGTCTTTTACACTAACTGCCCCATTTTTAAAACGTTTCAAAATTGTTTTATGTTAACGAATCGTTCGACAAAAAAATATAAAGATTGCATTATGATTTTTACGCTCAATGGTGTACCAAGGATCAAAATGGTTAGGCAGTTTCTAAGATAAACTATAGAATGATAGAAATGTGTAGAATCTCTCAGGTTTTGTTATGGTATGAAGTGAAAAATGATAAACATGTTTTGTTTCATTCAAACACCTTTTTTAGACATAATTACACCACTGAACAGCTTAGAAGCTTTACGTACCACTTTAATGGTTGACTTTTTGATTTCCAGGTTAATCCAATTTAATCCATTTCCGGTGAAAATTCAGTTTAATGCTGCGAATGCAGCCCGCACGGCAGACGCGGCAGACGAACGGCAGACGCGAAGCGGAGCGAGATGGACGGAGCGGGGATGGTCGAGGCAGGGGGAGTCAAAGTGAGCCAGGCGGAGTGGGATGCATATGTAAATCAAATTATTTCAATTTCACACTACAGGAAAATTCATTTCTTTTTCTAACTGATGATAGTGGTCTATAAATTTACGGGCAACGCCTAGTGTTTCAACTGAGAGCACGAATTAACAAGAAACGCGCGCACGACTCTCAAAAACACATTAATGAAAAATGAAGAAGTATACTGCTAATATTATTTCCCTCTTCATCGTCAATTCATGAAAACATCACTGGTAGTTTCCTGGTCCTGTACAACGAAGAAACTTTCCAGATTCAAACCTTATTAATATGAAATACATAAAAAACTATTAATCTGACTAATGTGTGCTAGTTTACTCTAATCTCATGCCCGATTCAAAATGCTTTAATGCTCACAAATAAGAAGGGAAAGGGTTTCCGGGCTTCATATCACATTGCACCAGAAACAAAACTACATTAGGAGTGGTAAACATCCGAATCACATTCAAAGAGCAGTGCTCGTATTAAGATATTTCATTATTTAATCATCAGGATTAAATATATCTCTTATTTACGATAATATTACACATGCTTCAACCTCAACAGAACTACATAGATTACAGACACTTAAACAACTGTATGTATCTTCATGAAGTATATTTTGTGCACTTTTTTAAGTACGAACTTTTGAAGTAAGATAATAAATTATACATATTATTGCTACAAACCCTTAATAAAAAAACTTTATTATTTATAAGGGTAAAAACTCGTGACTAGTGGCAGTCAATAATAAAAAATCAAATACTCTCATTTAATATTACATCTCAGATGCGTTAATCGTACATTAAACAAGTGTTGTATAAAATGAAGCAATTGCTTCCTTAACTACCTAGAGGCGTCTGAACTAAATGGTCATTTTAAAGAAAACACTAAATATGGATTTCCACAAATATTTTAGTGCTATTTCTAATAGTCCTTTGTGAAATCACATGTGCAAATTCATAAAAACTCTTTTAAAGTTTGCAAGCATTGAATTAACGTGTTTGGTAGTGATGCATTGATACTAGAACGGCGTTCCGGTACTGATTTTTGATAGCCTGTTGCACAGTTTTGGGTGATTTTGAAGGATTCTGTAATACAAAATCAAATGTTAGGGTTCTGGAAAATTGCCAATGCGTTCCAGGTGTTGGGTGTCACGGGTAGAGTAGAATTGGATTATTTTTCTAAGCATCAACCTCGAATAAATGTTTGCAATACTGTGATAGAAAATAATCAGTAGTTTATAGAAGTTTAATTAAAATAAATACAATTAAAAATACTCTTTATTTAGAGAAAAGTATGATACAAATGTTTCACGTTGGATGACAGTAGCGACGCTCCCATCTACGTCTTTCTAGAACTAATGCAGAGTATTTGTTGCGCGTTGCCCCAATGGGAACCTGTGTGCACGCGAATGCCCTGCGCGCTGACCCTAGGGCCACAGTTCTGGGCAGACATGTACACACGTCCAACGAGCCCGATCAAATCCAACAGAAAGCATAAATAAAAACGTTATCAGATATGGAAATTAAAACTCAAACGGCTATATGTCCTCTATTAATCTATGGTTTTCTACACATAAAATACTCTGGAAATATAATACAATCTTTGGATTTTGATAGAAAATACATTTTATTAACGTAATCAAATCCATCACAATTGACACACAATATCCTTTAAAACCGTTCAAATGGGGGACTCTTTGGAACTCCTCTGGAGGGGGTACTTGCGGGATCTAAAATGTAAGGAACAGCAACAATCGCCACAGAGTAGAAAATTAGATAAAGTCATAAAAAGTATATTTAAGTAGAGCTTCTTTGCATGTTTTTTAAAGTATGTGAACGACTTTTTACTTGCCAGTGAAGTGACCTTCTGGGTACAAAACGTAAGCATTCATTCAAAAAATGCATTCTTCCTAATGCAATTAAATTTATAATTCAATACTTTCAGAGTCCGATTTACTGAAACAATTTTGTTAACAAAAGTATTTATTTACGGAGTAAATGTATACTAAATCAATAGGTCTATTGATTCCCCCACACATCGGTAATTTTCGAAATTATTCGCGGCTTTAAAAAAATACTCAACATAGAGAAATTAAATATTTTTTAGAAATATATTTTTTAATCCCGATGAGTTTTATTTTTAAATCCAAAAGCTCAATTACTGACTTTTCAATTTCGTACTTTTCTCGCGTTTTTTATAATAACAATTAAATGACGCCCAGCAACTTTGTAAGATTCTTATTCAGAACTCTTAATTCATTCACTTGAAAATAAAAAATACGGTAACTTACCTTTTGGATTAGAAGAGGTGCCCCAAAATCCTTGCCACCTTGGAGTCGAAAACCCCATGGTTGGGCGTCGAATCGTGATAACTTGACGTTAATTAACTGCGCCATGTTATTGTTTCGTTTATCACTTTAAAACGTTGTCTTGTGCCTCCTGTTAAATTTGAATAGTTTTCTAAGCGTGTATCGAAATCGTAGTTGCTTGGCAGGGCGACGAAACACAACTCCCGCCTTCACTAGTTAAATGCCATTGATGAAGGCACGGCTGAGTCGAATGCGCATGTGCAATGCGCACGCGTGGCAACTGTCTTGTGACCAACCCTGTAATTTGAACTCTGAAACTTGCATTGAAGAAACTAAACTCTCCCATCTTCAACATTACGAACAGCACGACGATGTCATTTGCATTTTATATTTTGTAATATTGTATGAATGTAATGAGAATATGAAGGACTGATGGTTGACAGTCTTTATTGATACCTTTCTACATTCCTTTTCACTTCATTTTTGTGGTTATAGAAAGAAGGTATTGTAAAGTAAATAAGAAATGACATATTAAATTTGTATATATTATTTTTTATGTTTGGTATTAAAATAATACTAAGCAAAGGACATTAGATAATATGAAATCAATGATGTGATAATTATGTTCATGTTTTAAAAAAATAAAATGATGCCCTGAACATAATTATTTTTCTTTCCAGATAAAATTAATTTAATTACTAGCCTATTAATTAATTTGAAATACGATATTCGTTCATTTTTTTGTTCAATAAAATTGTTATTGGGGGAATACTATGTTTCAATGTTGGTATTACTTGTTGCATCATATTGACGAAGGTTTGACTTGAGAAAGCTGTGTGCGGTTAACAATCGCGCGTGTTGTTTATAACAATGTAAAAATTGTCTTGCCAATGACATTTACAGGTGTTCCAGTAGGATTTGATACAATTTTCTGTTGTATGTAATTCCTTTTATGCAATTCTCTATGTCTTTATCTAATAAAATTAACCCACCATAATATTTAAAGGTTATCAGACACTCTGAAACCAATATGTTTATTTAACTGCACTCATTTCAGTGCAGATAGACAGTCAATAATTTTGTAGAATTTTTAATATTTTAGATTTTCCTATTTTGGCGTGATGTTTCGTTATAGCTTCCGTTTTCTGGCACATCCTTAAAATTCTTTCTGTGATTTTTTTTTCTATTTTAATAAAATAATTTCTTTATTTTTATAGTTATTTCACATTATAAAATCATTTATGTTATTTGTTGTATTGTTGACTTCAATGAAACATTATTTTGTTGGATGTTAAAGTAGACCATATGGAACTTCTCATTTAGGCCAATTCATGCATATCATTCTTATTTGTCATATGTAAGTGGCCTAAAATGTTCACACCTTCTTGTGATAATTGTCTGAAACTTTCATGTAAATACAAATATAGTCATTATTTTTCTTTCAACATACTATGCATTTGAACCATAAAATTTTGCCAAACAAAATACTTAGTTTTGATTGTATTTATACGAACAGTAAGAAACATGATGCTTTTGAGCAGTATAAATTGGCTAATTATGTGAAGACATATGGTTTAAAAAGAATCACTTAAAAATTAGATCTCTGAAGTTGTTTGTTGAAAATCATTGAACAAATTTATATGATAGAGATGTTTCAATAGTTCAGAAGTCTGTCTATATTCAATGTCTTTTTCAATTGACATTGTAGGGAAAGGTGGGTAATATATTACATACAAATAAATGAAATTTTTCTTTTGTTGAAATTGTAATGGAATGTGTTGAAAATTTCTTTGAATGCCAATTACTTCAAGTAATAAAGTGATGCTTAAAATGTAAAATTATATTTAAAATTTATTATATTTTAATTTCATTCCTAAGTTTAGATGTGAAATATTTTGCTCAGGAATGTGTTTTTATGCATGTACTGTGACACATAATTAAACGTTCATTTGTGAGTAATTTCTGAAGTAGAAACATTAAAATAAGTTTCAAACATGAAATTGACCATTGAGGGAATATTAATATTTCAGTTGCTGAATAACAATGCATTGACATGCAATTTCAATATTAACTACAATCATGGAAGAAGCAGGACCATCTCAGAGTCCTACTGAGAAAACTGCTATTAAAACAAATCATTTCACTCAAGATCTTTCAGACATACCTTCAGATTCACAGTGAGTAAATTTAATTGTTTTTATATAGTGTATTATTTTTATTAAAAATATTTTAGCATAATTATATCAATTTAAAATACAAAATAAGACACTGAAATATTTTTTTGTTATCTGAGAGATGAACACCTTCCACTCTTTGAAAAGCCAAGATATCTATTTACTATTAAAATCAGTTAGATTCACTTAGATTCAGTATGCATTATTTGGATAAATATTAATGATGTAGGTTCCACCATTCATCACTAATACACAGAGCAAGAAATTTTAAAAAGTAATTTTCCAAATGTAAATCGTAATGGTATTGAGAGTGTTTACCTCTCGGAGTATGATCTCTTTGATACTGTATTGAAGATAATAACGTAGGAGTATGAATTCGTAGATACTGAATTTAAAGTAATAAAGGAATTAAGGTAATTGATTTTTTTATTGCTACTGCTACTTTTTTTTGGTGATAGGGGAAGATGGAAGTTGCCTCGCAGATACTTTGTTGCTCTGCTAGCATTTCTGGGATTTTGCAATATATATGCCTTGCGTGCGAATCTGAGCGTAGCTATTGTTGCAATGACACAGAACAAGACTGTCAATGGAACTGTACTCTATGTAAGTATATTTATATTATGTACGTAGGTTTATCTCTTGACAACATAAATGAACATGTGTGTGTATTTTAATTGATTTACTTCATTTTCAGAATACAGAATTTCCTTGGGATGCTGAATTAAGAGGTCTAGTTCTTAGTTCATTTTTTTATGGATATATAGTCACACAAATTCCAGGAGGCTGGTTAGCAACACAAATGGGTGGCAAAAGACTATTTGGAATTGGAGTTGGTGTAACAGCATTTATAACTTTAATTACTCCTCTTCTAGCTAAAGCAAGCATTTATCTACTGATTCTTGGGAGAGTATTTGAAGGTTTGTTTGAGGTAAGAATTTCATTATCTTATAATCAAGACTTCATGTACAAGTTATTTATTGATGTTATACTTATTACTTTGAAATGTGCAGGGTATTACTTATCCATCTATTCATGCAGTATGGAACCAGTGGGCCCCACCACTTGAGCGAAGTCGGTTAGCAACTATTGCATTTTCTGGTAGTTACTTTGGTACTGTTGTTGCTCTTCCACTTTCTGCATTTTTAGCTCAGCATGTAGGTTGGGAATCAATCTTTTATGTTTTTGGTAGGTGAATCATTTTATTGTATTAGAATTTTTTTTCATCAATTATTTGCACATCGTTAATTTATATTCCAAATTATTTCTTTAGGTGTTATTGCTCTATGTTGGTGTATGGCTTGGTGGATGTTTGTAACTGAGACCCCTCAATCTGACAGAAGAATTACAGATTATGAGATGGAATATATCAGGTCTTCTATTGGTGCATCAGCCAACCATGTTAAGGTGGTAATGTATCAATTTTTTGACTAACAGGTGGTGGTGAATTTTCCAACTTTTATTAACATTATCTCTGACTAATAACAAATTCTCTGTTGTTTCATGAATTATTGTGTGCATGTGGATTGATTTCATTACTAATAGTGCATGCATTTCTTCTGTGAAGCTTCAATCTCTTCCTCTGTCTTTGTTAAAAAAGAAAATAATTCTATTTTAAACTACTAGATATTCTGTTCAAAATGTGATGATAAAGATATTTGGTATTCCAATGAATTTTATCAAGGTAAATATCTAAAGATTTAAAATTAAAATAAAGGTTATCAATGCAATACTGAGCGACAAAATAATTACTACATTGAATATTTATTCACAAAATATTTAGTAAATAAAATGTAGAAACTACCTCACAACAGATTCTGACTGGTTGATGAAACAACCCATTTTGCTTTTCTTGCTTATTGTGAGATATTTAAGAAGTGTCAAGAAGTCAATATTTTTTTGTTTTACATATGTCATTGTTCTGCTTAAATCTCTATTACCTGATAACATAGTGTCTTTTCTCTTTTAAAGAATGTAGATCCACCATGGAAACGGTTTTTTACTTCCCTTCCTGTGTGGGCTATTATGATTGCCCATTTCAGTGAAAATTGGGGTTTCTATACATTGCTGACAGAATTGCCAACTTTCATGAAAGGTATATACAAAAATAAGATATATTATTTTCAGCTTCTTAATGTTTTATATTATTTATTTTCATAATCATGTATTGCAGACATACTTCACTTTGATTTGCTACAAGTTGGATGGTTATCGGCCCTGCCATACCTGGTGATGGGTATAGTTGTGCAGATTGGAGGATTTGTTGCAGACTGGTTGCGATCCAATGGTCACTTGACCACTACTCAGGTACAATCTTGAAATATAATTCAAAAATCTATGTGTGCAATTGCACACACTCGCTAATTTATGTGGTTGTGGTAGATATAATCACATTAGATATTCTGTCATTTGCACAAATTATTATTTCTTTGAATCTGGAAGAAAGACATATTGAATGTTTACAGGGTATAGAGATTGTAGTGTTTGCTAAATAAGTGAGATAATATTTGAAGTGTTATTTTCAAGATCATACATTTACTACGTCTTTGCATGTATGCCCATATGTTATTGTTTAGGTTGTGTTTTAGATGCTGAATCATAATACTAATAAGAAAGGTGTTTTCCAGGTGCGAAAATTATGCAACTGTGGAGCATTTTCTTGCCAGACTCTCTTTCTTGTGGCCGCAGCTCATTCTTCAACACCAGCTGCCGCTATATCATGTCTGACTGTTGCTGTTGGTTTTGGGGGATTTGCTTGGGCTGGATTTAGGTAAGTAAAAACTGAATGTCCATCCAATGTTTGAAACATTTGTTCTGTTTCCATGTTCACGGTTTTCTCTATTTATCACTATCAAACTAGTGGTGCTACAAAATGGCAGAAACTTTCTTGCGATAGTTAGATTCCTATTATATTCGTCTGAAAAGACTACCAGGACTTCTCATGGTACTTACTTGGAGATAGGGAAGAGTATCTTAGGACACCCCAAACATCACATCAGTCCTGTACATTTACTTATTGGTATTCCTTGGCCCCACCTCGAATATTGTTCCATTGTTCTTGTATAAAGTTTGGTATGACCTCCACACCTCAAACACTACTAAAAACATTCCTAACTTTGTGGGTTTTAAATGCATGGCTTTAATGTCCTCAAACTTCAATTCCAACGCTTTGGGAGTTTCAAAGGGATAAACAAATAAACTGAAAGCATCTGTATGTGATTTTCGAATTTGCAATTTTTAAACAATTTTTCAACTTTCTTATTCGATCAGTTGTTGTCTGTCTATCCATCGGTATGAATCGATTTAAGTAAATACTACTTATTAATATTATTACTTTTAATAAATACTTTTAAACTATTACTAATATTACTTTTAGTAAATACTATTATTACTTCTCGCTCTTATGAAGGTGGTCAGATGAGGGTCAGGTATGAGGTATGAGGGTGCTCAGATCCTTAGTTAACTTACTTTTTTGAAGTGCTAATTTTGTATAACAGACTTTGAGACTAAAGTCTCTATCTCCAAGTATAAAGTTTTAATTTTCGAAAAATTGGGGAAGTCAACGAAAATAAAACCTGCACAATTCTCTAAAAGGTCTTTTGCACCATTCAACAAGTAAATTTAATCAAAAAACTTGGAGCCATTTTTTAAAAATTTTGAAAATGTCCCAAGGGTTTCATATTAAGTACCCCCTCCCCAAAAAATTAAAATATCAGTTTCAAATTCCAGGGTTCGCGACATCAGGTAGGACGATTGCACAATATTGATGAAACAATATCCTATTTTTTTTTTCTTATTGTTCTTATTCTAGTAATTTTTGTAAATACAAGAAAACAAAGTAGTGTTGCTACAACAACATGTACTTTCTCACATTATTTGTAACTTTTGCAAATTCAACGAATGGTATTCAACTAGGGATTTCAACAAAAATAAGACCTGCACCATTGTCTTCAGCGACTTTTACACAATCCGAGGACAAAATTTAATCAAAAAGTTTGAAGCCATTCTTGACAAAATTTTTAAAATGTTAAGGCTTTATATAAAATGCCACCTAATCAAAGTGTCCGTTTCAAACTCTGAGGGCCTTAAGTTCATTTACAATGGTCAGATAATATAAATTTTGGAGAAAATCACCCGAACGGTTTGGGTGCTAGCATTAACCATGAACAGACAGGCAGACAGACATTTTGCCATCAATCAATTTTTCAGCATCAAAGACCCTCAAAACGAATTCTGACAATACAACGTGTTAGAAAAAAGAATTTACTGTGTAAATGGAACTCGATTTCTGCACATTTTTACCTAGGCCTGTCAATGAGAGGTTTTGCTATTTTCAGCGCACGATTACAATTCTCTCTCTTCTTACGAACTAAGGCATGTGAGTAAGACTCATAGAAATGTGCGCTTATGCAAGAACTGTGTGTGTGTGTGCGTGCATGTGTGAATGCGTGCGGGTGTGTGGGTGGGTGTGCGTGTGCCTGCGTGCATGCATGTATAAAGTAAGTATATCTAATTATTATCCTAAGTTAATATCTTATTAGCTTTTCTGGGCATTCATGGACTTGTAAATGTACTTATAAATTATTTGATAGTAAATATGTGAATGAAAATTATTGTATCTTTAAAACTGTTTATTGCTTCTGTAATAGTTTTTAGTGTATACAATTTGATTGTACAAAGAGAGTGTTAATATCCAAAGGGTTGTTGAATAATATATTGTAAGAAGTTTTGTTTTTCATTTTCAGTGTCAATCATTTGGATCTTGCTCCTCAGTTTGCAAGTATATTAATGGGCCTGTCTAATACTGTAGCAACACTTCCTGGAATGATTAGCCCTTTGTTGACAGAACATCTAGTTCAACACAAAGTAAGATTGGATAATTTTCTTATTTATTTTGGCCCAGTTCCAAATTCCGAAATTTTAACATATTGCCATTTTAAAGTTTAACCTTGTTCTAAAAATGTTAGTTATGTCAATTGAATTTTAAATTTATTTTTAATTTTGCATTTTTACGCAATACATTTCAAATTCTAGTGATGTAAACTAACATTTTCAGGGTGATATTAAATGTTAATACAGCAATAATCAGGTGTTCTGGTGTTGTTACCTTTTGGAAACAGGCAGTCGATCTGTAGTTTTTGAAATACTTTCAACAATTAAAAAGACCAATATAATGAATAAAACGATTATTGCACATATAAGGACTTGCCTCCTGTGTCCTTTTCAGAAATTCTGAGTTTGACGAAAATGAGACCTGCGCTATTTTCATTTTTAAAGCAAACTTTTCTCTATTTGAGGAAAACATTTGAAACACATTTCGGAAAAATCTTACTTTTAAAATTGTCTTTATTTCATGCAATATGTGAAGACTACTCATATTTTGAAAATATTGCACAAGACATCACTTAAGATCTAAATCTATAGAACAAAATTTTATTAATTTCTATCTTCAACATTGTTGTTGTACAAAGATGCCGAAATTTTTTTGCAATTTTCAAAAATTCTGACATTGTAGATAATATTGAACCTGCGAAACATACTCGTACTTCGGAATATTCGAGAAGAAAGAAAAACTGTACGAGATTTGGGGGGAAATTGTTTTTACCTTTCTGCACACTATGTACCTAGTGTGGAGAAAGTATTGTAATGGTGCAGCGATCTAGAGGTGCTATCGTAGCACGCACTTTCTCACTGGAGTAACGGTCACGTAATACAGTAACACTTGCTCAATGCGGAGCGTGTATAATGCGGAAATCTGTCGAATGTGAACATAGATCGCGGTCGTGCCGAACGTAAATTCTACAGTTCTACGTCGCATAATCCGGTATCTTGTCTAATACGGGAAAAAGTACTGGTCATTTGAGATTCCTCATTGGGCAAGTTTTATTGTGTTAACTCTCCGTGTACCACGGTCTCGCTCGAACGTCAAATACAATGGGGAGAGACCCCCATTTCCAATTTCACGTTTTGACAATATTTTTCTGACTGGAAGTTCGAAATTCTTTTAGTTGGCATCTGTTGATCGATAGGAAAAAATCAAATTGTGTTTACACTTACTGGAAGCGCAATATTATCAAACAAAACCAAGCATTTTTCTTGGAAAAAGTTACAAAAATTACCATGGGGATCTCGCGAGGACTCCAAACACATTTTTTTAGGAATCATTACATAATGTCAGGCGTATATAACTGTATTCAATGAAAATGAAATAAGATAAAAAAATATTTGAATAAAAAAATAATTGTGTCACAATTAAATCCACTCAGTTTTTTAATGAATTTTCGTAATATTTCTAGGATACTGGGATCGTCAACAATGCTATGCTACTCTGAGAGTTAATACACTACAGCTTCTGTTCATATTAACACATCTCAGCCATCACTACTTGCATAAAACTCAGTCGTAGCGCGTGAGATGCGAAAACTATTTTTATAGCTAATACGAGTACATCAATTCCTATTCGAGAATCCAAAACTGCGTTCCATATAATCTGAAATGTTATCGTCCAACATTAGGAAGTAATTTTCTGATTTCCAAACTGCCTTGACGCGGCGTCTCGAGAATTCTCAAGAAATACTCTTCAGCAAAATAAGCGCCGAAAATTCGAATTTGCAATTTCGAAGAAACTTTTCGTATTTAAAAAAAATGTATATGACCTTACTTAAAGATCTCATTTTGAAAAAAAAATTTCATTAAGTTAAAAATCTCTTATCATCAATACCGTATTTTGCAATGTTAAATTTTTGCCATTTCCAAAAATCCAGAGTTCGCCGAAAATTCGACCTGCGCCATTTTTATTAGCAAACTTTCTCTATTCGTGAAAAAATTAAATAAAAGGAACCGTTTTTGAGAAAATCTTGTTTTTAAAATTGCCTTTAATCCATGCAAAATTCTGCGAAAACTATCCGTATTTTTGAAAAATTATTCATGACATTATTTAAAGATTTTCATTAAAACCTCCGGAATTTCGAAAATTGTAAACGTTCAAAATATTGTTGAGCCTGTATTTCACCTTCAACGTTGTAGCTATTGTCCGATTAAAAATTATATCTACTTGACAGCTAGCTGCTGGCAATGGAAAAGGGCTTTCTTTATCCAATCAGATGATTTAAATTGCTTAATGTTATTGCAGAGTTGCTGATTCTTGTTAAGATCCACAAATGAAATTGTACAGCTCGTCGCATCTGAAATTTGAAGATTGACGACCAAGGCCATTTGGAGTCATTACTGGTTTGGTGATTCGTCGAGTCTACGTTCTGTGTCGTCTACTGTTGTGTACTCTAGTTATGAGATTGAAACCTGGGGATCTGGGAGGTCGAAAACGTGGAATTTTAACTATTACCTGGTACATACAACATACCAAAAGAAAAAGCGTTAATGCCCTTTTGCCATGTTAAACGAACTTGCCGACCGGGATTGCTTACAGCTTTGCTCTGTTCGGGCGACAAAAATAAAGGAAAAAATTCGAGCCAATTTTGAGAAAATTTTGAAAATGTCGTAGTCCTTATACAAAGTACCCACAAAAATTTAGAAAATAGAGAAGAGAGGGAGGAAAGAATGATACGCCATCACTCAAACTACTAACCGTAAACAAATTAAGGCTTTCAAGACCAGACAACTGACACAAGTTAAACAAATACTGCAGGAAAAGTACATAGCTCCCTATTTGAAGGTGACTAGTAGAGATTTTCCATACTGCTCACAGGAGAAATGGTTGTAATTGTTGTTGTTGTTATTATTATTATTATTATTATTATTATTATTATTATTATTATTAACTATACCTCGTTACAATAGAACTTATTATTTTATTATTGTTGTTCATCTAAATTAAAACACCTTCCCTTCCACCAAATAAGGTGTCATTCGGCGCGTCTCGGTCTCCTGGAAGGGAACCGATGATCCGTCCAGAAGAAATTTCCAAAAATGTGTTTTTGCATTTTTAGCGCGGAGATTCCGCGCGAATCACGTGCCCCAACGCCCTGCTGTGATGATAGCGAAATGTGATGCTAATCTAACGGCCCACGTACCCAAGCCCAAGTACCCAAGTAATGAAAGATCTTCCTCAACTGCGACATCATTGCACACACCGAAAGGCGATGAGGGACAGAATGAGGGAATTTCTTCCAGAACGTCCAACTTCAGACAAAGGATTCATCAAATGTACATATTGAATTAACATATCTAATTTCAAATGAAAATAAATTCCCGATACAAAAATAATACAATCAGTACCGTCAAGAATTGACTGAACTTGCTTACTTTCAATAACACTCAAAACCATCAAATTAAGTTGCAGCTAGTTTCATACGAAGACAGAAAATTGGTATTCTCCTTACACGCCGCGCCGCGTTCTGCGGACTAATCCCTGCGCTGGAAATCTGTGGCTCGTTGTGGTGCGCAAACAACGGAGGCCCGGTGTTGAAGCATAGCGATGCGCGTCCAAAGAATAAACGCGCTAAATGAGCTCAAGAGCGTGGTTTGGTGCACTGCCTGGGAACGCATGAAACGCCGGAGTGCTCGAAGGACGGTCTTCAATTTCGAAGTGATTACAGCTATGTTGCTGTAATATTCGAATACTTCTATGTTGCTGTAATATCTTGAAAATTTAATGACATTAAAAGGAAAATGTATAATCCTAATATAAGCTTTTTTCGATTATCTGGAGTCTGTGCAACTTAAGCACGAGCCGCCACTGACGCACACCATAGTGCAAGGGATAATCCCCTTTTGTAATATAATTTGATCTATCTACCTACCTATCTATCTACCCATCTGTCCACCTATCTATATTTTTTTACGACGGGAACTGTGGAAATCTTCAAAAGACGAGGAGCCCGCACTCCTCAACAGTGTGAGATTTTTACCCATTAAAATCACAAACCCTTAATGTTCGTGGCGATATCCACCCTAGAACTGCAGTTATGCATTACTTCAGGATGGTGCCAGCTGTATTACTTCGATGTGCTATTCATGTTCAGCTATGACTGGTTTCTCTGGTCTTCTTCCTTCTTGAGAATGGCGGTGATATATTTCTCTATTGCTGTCCACTTCTCCTTGTTACAGATTATTAATGTATCCATATTTTTTGGTGAGACATTACACCCGACTTCCCATATCATGCGATGCCTTAGCGTGTCCCATCTCGGGCAATGGTACAGCGTATGTTCGGCGTCCACTTCATGGCTGCAGTAGAATCATACCGCGTCTTCTGTCTTTCTGAATTTTTTAAGGTATGCCTTAAAACATCCATGCCCTGTGAATACCTGAGTTATGTGGTATGTCACGGACCCGTGTTTGCGGCTTATCAATTTCGATACATTAGGGATGAGCCTATGAGTCCATCTGCCGGTTTCCTCTCTGTTCCAGCGTTTCTGCCAGCAGTGTATCACGTTTTCTTTAGCTTTTTTTAATTGCACTATCCGTATCTTGGTGCGTTCGCCTTCCGTTGTTTTTTTGCTCATGGGAGTAGTCGTAAACTTCTTTCCTTTCTAGAGCAAGCAGGTCAAGAGGAGGGACGTTCGCCAGCAGAAGAACAGCACTTCCGGATACAGTTCTATATGCCGATGTTATGCGAAGAGCTCATTTCCTCTGGACTGACTGCATTGTCCTCAAATTCTTGTTTTGAAGAGCTTCTGCCCAGATCGGTGCTGCATAGAGCATTTTCGAGTGCATCCCACTCATAAGAATTCGTCTCGTCATGTTGCTGGGGCCCCTAGTGTTCGGCATCAATCTTGAAAGCGATGCTGCTATTCTTAGGGCTTTTTCCGTCGTCTCGGTAACGTGTGGTCCAAAACGTAGCTTCCTGTCAATTTCCACTCCTATGTAGCGAAGGCTCTTGCGACATTGTATTTTTTCCTTGCTTATTATGAATGTTGGCTTGGAGTAGGATCGTCTGTGCGTGATTAGCAATGCTTCCGTTTTATGGGCTGCCACTTCCAGCCCTTTGGACGTCAGCCATCTCATCACTCTTCTCAGGGTGTCGTTTACGAATACCTTTAGTAGGACCGATGTCTCCGCCGTTGCCACTATTATTGCATCGTCTGCGAAGCCCACTATTAAGACATTTTGCGGGAGTTTTAGCTCAGTAGACTGTCGTACATAATATTCCATAAGACAGGACCAAGTTTTGAACCTTGTGGGAACTACAGGTCATCTCGATTTCAATAGGTTCTCCTTCACCTTCGTAAATTGTCATTCGGTCGCTTAGGTAGCTCCTTGTCATACTGGTGAGGTACTCTGGGGTGTTCTTCTCTATCAGAGCCTTAATAATCTCTTCTCATTTGGCCGAGTTAAAGGCGTTCCTGATACCGAGCGTTACGAGGGCGCAGAATTCTTGTCTTACTCCCTCTTTGGCTTCTCTTGACTTTTCTACGACTGTTTTGAGAGCGTCGACTGTCGATCTACATTTTCGAAAGCCATATTGCATTTCCCACAGATCGTGTGTTTCCTCTCGCCATGACTGTAGTCTTTGCAGTCTCAGGCCCTCGAATACCTTTTCCATCGTGTCTAATAGGCAGATTGGTCGGTAAGATGTGGGCTCATGTTGTGGTTTGCTGCCTTTTAAGAAGAGAGCAAGTTTCTGCTTTTTCCATACACTCGGAAAAAAGTTTTCCCTCAAGCATCTATTATATGCTTTCAGAAGAAGTTGGGGGTGGACCTTTGCCAGTCTTCAGAATTTTGTTGTTGAGTCTTGGAGCCTTTTTGTTCTTAAGGGTACTGCACACTTTCTGTAGTTCTTCTGGGTAAAACATTTGGTCTTCTGTAATTTTACAAGACTGACATAGTTCTATCAAAGGTTTCTGATGTGATGGAAACAAATTTTTTATGATTTGGATTACCCATGTAGGGTCATCCAATCCGGGAGTTTTCCGCCTGCAGTTTAGTTTTGTTGTGACAATTTGGTACGATTTGCCCCACGAGTCATTGTCTATTTCCTTTAATAGCTCTGTCCAGCAGTGTTTTTTACTATTGTTGATAGCGTGTTTTAGGTTCTATCTATCTATCGATATAATGAATATAATTATATATAATTAATACATTACATAAATACTATTTATATAATGAAAATCTAAAAGAATGTACAGGAGTGTTGTAAAATAGGAGCTTGCAAATGTATAAATGTTCTTTAATATGTTGCCAGATAATACACTGAAGAAGTAGGCCGACTCTCCAAAATGATTATTCTGGAATGGGTAGAGGATATAGCACGAAAGAAAAAAAATAGTTGCGACCACACAATTTTTTTAAAAATTTATTTATTATTTAATTCTTAATAGTTTTTTTTTACTTATGCCCAAGAATGGATGAACCAGAACACTAATTTTTAACATAACATTTTATTAAAATTGATAGTTTTAGAACATCAGTCAAATTTTGCTTTCTAAATTGTGAAGAAATTTATTATTATTAATTTTAATTTATATTTATTAATTTTCAGGCACTTCGTGAATGGCAGGGTGTGTTCTATATTGCTGGTGGAATATACCTTGCAGGAGCAGTTTTCTACGGCCTCTTTGCTTCTGGAGAACGACAGAAGTGGGCCGATATTCCTGATTCTTATATGCTTTGTAGAGATGACCACTCACATGCCTCCACTGAGGATATGCCATTTGGTACAGGGTCATGTGAGTAATGTTAGTTTTTAAGAAAAATATATGTTTCCAATTTACTACATAATGTTGTGATTATGTGATGTGTCTTGCAATTCAGTTGTCATTGCAGCAAGTAAAAAACTAGTAATAATATTAAATATGTTCTTGCCTACTGATAACTGGATACTATTTCTTCTTTTGAAGTATGTGATAATGTAATGATCTGAAGCCCTTTGACATTTTTTGACTAATTGAGATTGAGAAAGCATAATGCTTTCATTCACTTCCGCTAGTGAACAAAAGCAAAAAAAATATCTTAACTGCATGATCATGATAACACTTGAATGTTATGTTAACATTTCCTCTTACCATTGTGCATATTTTGGAAAAATGGTTCATAGACTTTTCTGTATCAGTAGTGTTTATATCATCTTGTTGAAAATCTTGAAGTAGAAGTTAAAAAATACTTCTATCAGCAATGTAAGAGTTAAGGTACATAAGACTGTAGAGATCTCACTGTGTGGGATGTGAGATGAGAGGTGTCTTGCTTCCTTCCATCTCATTCATGTATAAACAGAACAAAATGATCAGTGTCAGCCCTTGAACTACAGATTACAACTCAAAACACATTTGTCTAATTTTATGGCTCTCTTGTATTCTGAATGTGTGATTCAGTACAAAATAATCTTTCAGCTGTATAAAGATCTTGCTCGTTCATTGCTTCTGCTACACAATGCCTCATACACCACCTATGTTTTTCAGAAGTTGTAATAACCACCATCCGCTGCGAGTCTGCCAACCCTCTGAGTACAGACTGCCTAACCATGGGTGGCTTTTGTTTCCCTGAATTTAGCTCAGATCTATAAGTGTCTGGGGCAGGGCAAGTTTTGTTTTGTTTTTATTGTTTTCTTCCTCTCTATTGTATTGCCCTGTATCATTTTCATTCAAATATTTTACATGATTTTTATTTATTTAAGAATATCTAAAATATTTTATTATTTTTTTGCATTATTAACAGAAATATTGATATTTATATATATATATATATATTAGTATATATATATATATATTAAATATATATATATATATTATATATATATATATATTTATATATTTATATATTTATGAAAAGCTTTGTCTGCTGGTGCCTAAATTGTAAAATTTGGGTAGGAGTTTCTTTCTACTTCATATATGTCCTTAAATGTACATCTTATAAGTGATTATTTAATAAGAAGTAAATTTCACATCAAATCACCCCTAGACTTCAATGGCAATTTATGCTCCAACTTGAAAAGAATTAATATGTGGGATCGAGACAACTGAAGCAATTTTCTATTCAAACTAAGCTAATCCACTCGTGACCCAAAATTTACGTTTTTGGCAGTTTTGGTTCAATTTAGTCCTTTATACTTCATTAATATTTTCATTCAGTTATCCCATAAAGTGTAAATTCATTAATAGCCTTCCACCTTAATGTGTGGGGAATTCCTTTGGGGGTTTTTTTCATTTAACAAACAAAATGCGACCAAAAAAGATGCTTAATAATCATTTTTGACAAATTGAATGAGCTTGTTTTTGAAGGAAGATGCCCTCAAATGTATGTATTATTCTCAATTTTGAAATTTCAAAAGACTGCTTTCTTATAAATTTAATTTCAAAATCTCTTCGTGCACATCTAATCCTTCCAAATTATTTTTTAATTTCATAGAATAGCATATGTCTCCCTGACAATTTCATGTCTAGTCGTTGTTGTCTTCTTGGCAGGCCACATGAATCTTGGCGCGTGGTGTATAAAAGAATGTTCTTATTCACAGTAATGTCATTAAATGTTACATATGTAGAATTATTTATTTTTTTATTATATGTAATGCTATTATGATTCTGTGTCACATTCCATTATGAGTTTACCTGGAATTAGTTGTACTCATGTATTTTCTTGAAAATCAATTAAATTTCTTTCATTGTTAGCATGAAATAAGTTTGAGACCACAAAAGATTAACTTCTTAGAAGATAATGAACATGTACTGAAAAATTATTTACAAAATAAATTATGAATTACAGTAGTCCTTGCAACTTTTTTCTGTAACATTAGGAAGTTTGTTGAAACATGTCAATGCATCAACATTATTCTTTTTATTCAGTTACTGATCTGATAGATTGCCAATATATTATATTAAGTGTAACTAAAGATTAAGCATTAGTATGTCTATAATAATGAAAAATTTTATTTTTTCTCTTAAATCGTACATAATTCCACAGCAAGAAGTGCAGTACAATCATTTCTTGCTTTTAGAGAATTGTATTGTATTTAAGTCAATAGCTTTTTGGTATACTTTTATACTTTTTTTCAAACTAACATATCAGGGCAACTCGGACTGTCAGGGGCCAATTCATAGATTGTTGAAATGTCTCGACTGTGCATGGTACATATCGTATTGCTGTGATTGTATTGTGTGTGTGTGTGTTTTTTATTAATTAATATACCCCTTTTTGAAGATATTCTACATTTCACTTCAAATAATATTTAATTTAATCTTTGTAACATGCCGGTAATATATGGTTAAAATATAATTTGGTCGTTTAATAATCAGCATTATTTGATGTGCATTATATATATATATATTTATAACATATATATATATAATTTATTAAAAATAATATAAATATACGTGTGCGTGTGTATTAATGCTCCATGCAAAATATTAGCTCAATCGGACAACTCTAAGATAACCCCCATAGACAATGACGTTGTGAGTGTTTGCTGTTGAATATATACTTACACTGAATAAATCCCCGGTTTTTGTGTTAATTATAATGCTAAAACAGATCATTGTAACAATAATAATAATAATTATTATTATTATTATTTTTATTATTGCATGCTAATGATGATGATGTAGTTAAACCTGTTCAAATCAAGAAAAAGACTTTTTTCTGCTTCTTCCCCCCCCCCCCCTCCCCCTTTTACATAACCGGGAGCAATAATGTTTCTGATAATGTTCATTCTCTCATTCCTGGATTTATCAAATAGTATTTTTCTGTATAAAATCTACTACAAAATTATTATTGAGAATTGCTGAAGTTAATGATGATCTTTCTGAGCGTCATTCCAAAGATCAGGTTATTATTTCTTACTAACGCCAGGTCTCTTAGTCTTACTAGATGGATGGTAAAGGCTATATATGAAATAAAAATGTTTCTATTTGAAGGTCAATTTTAATTGTATAATAGGAAGAAGATCCAACAAGTATATGTATATTTCTTGCTATAGTGTATGTCTGAGCCTGGTGTCTGACTTCAGAAGGCACAATATCAATCGAGGCACCATATCATGATTTCCCATTCATGCATCTAATAAATTATCATAATGCATAAATCAGTAAAGCTGCTGGAAAAAAAAAAAAATATTCAAACCATCTATGGTACTTAGTTCCCAGAGATACACCCTGCATCAAAATAATCTTTCTTTTCAAACATTGAGTCTTCGCTTTTTGTAACTCCCTATAAAAAAATCTTTCTTCACATGATTTACTGTCAATGCTGATCCTGCTTGCAAAAGTGGAATTTAAAAATTTGAGAAGAAAGTTCATTCAGGTACATTCTGACAAAAGGTGAAACTGACAAACTGGCTTACAGATTGTTGCTGAAGATTGTAAGAAATACTCGACTAATAAATTCTCCTAGATTCTCTGATAGATGCGTGCACTATTAAAAGGCTAATATTTCTTTAATTTTTTGCATTATCTAAGACAACATTGGTTGAAATAATGAGTTATTTGATTTAGAATGATTTTAAACAATTGTTGGGGTTGCCTGAATGATGATGACAAAAATTGAGGAAAAATAAAATGGTACTGGCAGAGAATAAGCTTTTTAATGTAATTATTTTTTGCATGCATTATGTTCCAACTTCAAGGTGTTAAGGCCACCTAGCTATTGTTCGATTGGGCTCTAATTTTGCACAGATCATTTTCTTGACAACTGAAACCAGCATAGAGGGTGGTTGCAGAAAATTTTAACTTCGAGAAATTTATCCTGTAGCCAAGGGCCTCTCTACTATTTACGTAATAGTATTTTCTCAAGAGCTTTGTATTATTTGGTGTAAGAAGTGTTGTATAATCAATATCAAATTACAATGAAATGTAGCATTGCGAAGAAACCATCAACCAAGAATGTTGTAATCTATTGACTGCCTGCTGTGTACTATTTTTCCAATATTAGATTAGGTTTATTTTCAGGCTTGGAAGATCAAAAGGGGCATCACTTAAGTTTAATGTCTTTGACTAAATATTCCATTTATCCCAAATATTTATTCCAAATATTCCATCCATAAGGAAATTTAATTTCTGCCTAGATTTATTACTTAATGATGACCTTTAAAATCAAAATAAGAGGTCATGAAAATGATTCAGTTTAGCATCATTAATTCATCAAGAAAAAATATATGTATTTATATGTGATATTATCAATAAGATCCCCAAAGTGGAAAAATTATCTTACGGATGAGTCAGATCCACGCTGAGGACATCAAATTTGGAATAAGAAGCTTGTTTTGTCTGTACCTTTTGCTAATTTAATACTGAATTAAATCATTGCCATTTTCTGTAATAGCCCTTTATGTTGGTATTTTTTCTAACAATTGCTCTGGATGTATTTACAAGAACTTGTTTGTAAACTGCTGGTACAAATTTTATTGCACAAGAATATATGTTCAATAATTAAGTAGATTATATAGAATTTTCATAAGCTTGATAATTATAATCTGAACTTCAGATTCAATGTATTTTCTATTGATGAAATATTCTCTCATAATATGAGAGAAAATTATATTCATAGAACTAAAACTAAAGGCACTTCAGTGACTTCTTAGCTGTTTTAGTAAGATATATGTGGAGACTGATTTCAAATTTGTGGTTTCAATTAATGTATTTGAAAATGCAAAAATGAATGTTCCTACATTGAATTTTTCATGCTTAAAATTCTTTGTGCATGTATATATTTAAATTACTACTTATTCTCTTGTACATATTCACAGCATGAATAAAAGAAGTAATGTGTGATCAAAAAAGTTAAAATTTTAATGATTATCATAATTCATTTATTTTATATCTTCTCTCTGTATTCCTGTTCCTCTGTATTTCTTTCCCTATGTATACAGTAAACCGCTTCTGGAATGCATCAAAAGTATTTGTATATTGATCAAAGCTATCTAATGATTTGGAGTGCATTCAGTCTCTCAATTTTGCAATAAACATACTGGAATTAATGAACCTAGAGATAATATAATAAGGATATTGTTATCTTTTATCTAGCGCCGACATTACCCTGGTTCGAGAGGTGCATTGAAAAGTGGCAAAAAAATTAAAATACTTAAAACTTTGAAAGAAACAAAACAAAATTTATTATATGTATCTCAAACATCAATACACTTTTAGCCCTGCGAGTTAGTAAACATTGTAGAACAGTATAACCAAAAAGTTTCATATTTCAATGGTCATATAAAATAAACAGATCAGTTTATAGGGAGGCATTGTTGTTTTGTCTGTCTGTGGTCAATGCTAGCACTTAAACGGTTCAGATGCTTTTCTTAAAAATTGATATTCACACATCGATCTGGAGGATCTCGAGGCCTTGAAATTTGAACCGGATGTGTCGATTTTTTGCAGTACAAGACTCAACATATTAGAAATTCTCTCAAAAATGGCATACATTTTTTATGAAGTATTGTCCTTGGACAGCGAACTTTAAAAAAACAGCGAAGATCGTTTTCATCTTCGAACAGCAGCACATACGAGCAGATACTCATAGAAAGATAGTGTGCAGTGCAGTGTATAGTCGAATTTTCCAGGAAGGAGAGAGCAAAACATTGATCTATTTAATGGAATTCACCAGTGTGCACACTTTAGGGTTCAATTACTTTCAGGAGCACATAACGCCATGGGGTTACAAGGAAATCAGTGGAAGTACCTCACATGAAGTTTTTCTGGTCCTAAAGACTAAAAAGAACAGGCAACATTTAAAACACAAAATGAATGACATGAAAAAAGGACTGGAAATGTAGCAAAAGAAGCATACTATTAAGTAACATATTGCAACTTCTAATCTACTGTAACTTCTGCCATATCTTGGAAAGCTTTTCATTAAACAAAGCACAGAGATTCATTTTTGAAAATTCAGATGTTGTAATGAAAATAGCACTTGTACTACAGAATTTAGTGAATGAACCTATTATGCTCTAATCTTACAAAAAGCTTAAAGCAAAAATTTAGAGGCAATTTTAAGAAAATATGTATTTGTGAAACATTGTTTTCACTTCATTCAAAATTATATAAAAATTTATTATATTTTAACAACCTACACACAAAGTTATTTCAAGATTTGATATTGAAGAATAAATTGCATTAAGAAGGGATATCCAAATAACAAGGTAAGATTTCCAAATATGAGCTTATATTATTATGAATATGGGCATAAATGATACATACGACATGAAACATTTCAGCTCTTACAGGGTTTAGACACTTTTCATATAATTATTTCACTAAAATTCAAGCAAATATTGTTGTATAAACGAAGGTCAGAGAAGAGAAATTCATAAGACCACTAACAGACACCTCTTTAATTTTAGTTACATTAGTGACTGAAGAGGATAGGCCTACAAGTGATTTATGTCTGTATTCATAACAAAATAAATTAATGTCTAAAACATCTTAAATCTAAATTTTTAAACAGTGAATGGAAAAAAATTACTATAGCTATTGTTGCTTTAAAAAAATCTACCTTTAATAAAGTAGTAGTAGAAGAGTGTCAGAAAAATATTTGAACATTTGCAATTTTTGAAATTTCACAGGTCTTGATGAAAATGTGACTCTTTCATGTTATTCAATTATATTTTGAAAATATTAATATAAATATTATATTTTGAATATATTAATCATTAATCTGTGTAATTTTCAGAGTTTAAAAAACAGACCATTAGTGAATTTGGTCATGAACTGATGATACAATAAAAATTTGTTTTAGTAAGTCGTTGTAAATTCATGAAACATTCACTAACACAATAACACGGAAAGGGTAAAAAGGTGTAAAATGTATAAAAATGCAAAGCTGCAAGAAAATTACCTAAAAATTGAAAAATGGCAAAATATGACCCAATAACTATACATTCCTATCACGTATATGTCATAAAAAACATTTATTTACAAGTTAGCTATGTCTACAATGCACCAATTGAGAGATGACATGTCATCAGAATCCTAGCCCTGATAATTACACAGTTACATTTAAAAATACAAAGTAACAGTTTTGAAATAATATTTCTACAATGTTAAATAATTGTTAAGAAAATTATTTCCTGACTGAATTAAAATAATGCTTTAATCTAATGAAATGCTTGAACATTAAAATTCCTGTTATTTTGAAAATAAAATACTGTAATATTGATAACTGCATCCCTATTAGCTCAACTCCAAGTATTTTTCCATGTTTTCATTCTACATGGTTGTCTACATTATTTCATCTCTACCCATTAGCATGTTTATTTTTACAGTGTTAGTTGACCATGACTTATTTAACTGCAGCAGATTGGCACTGTGCCTCTTGTTATTGGAACTACTCTATATCACAGCTCAACCAATGTTTCACAATAGATACTTGAATAGACTGAGAAGCATTATCTAAGTGATCTATTCTCAACCCAGATCTAGAGCTGTCAATACTGATCTTTTACCACATTTGCTCCTGCAAGTCTTTGTTGTGACCATCTACAATATTCTGTTATAGACAAGTAATATTCTTATTAGGGAAAATAGTGCTACAAACTTTATATTATTGAACAAATGTTAAAAGATATTTAATAATTAGTAACCATTAAGAAGGAACAAAAATGACTGAAGAAATCAAACTATCAAAATTCGATAATGAACCATGGGGTTTTCGCTTGACAGGAGGAAAAGATTTTGGAACTGTGTTGACTGTCATCAAGGTACAGTATCTCACTAAATCAATATTTTGATTATACTGTATAATAGTAAATTTATATTTTGCATAATACTTCCTTCTATTTACATGTTACAAAGATGAAAGCAATAAAGTGCAGTTTCTTATTTCTGTAGATATCTCAAGATAGCTTAGCAGAGAAAGCTGGTATGAAAGTTGGAGACTTAATATTAGGAATAAATGATCAACCATTAACAAATTTGACACACAGTGAAGCTCATGAGGCAATAATACGGGCAGGAAATAACTTTGTTTTAACTATTGTAAGGTAGGAATAATGAAACTGAAAATCTACTTGATAATAACTTTCTCAACACACTGTACAAATAGGTCCTTTTATGTTTCTGTCTGAAAACTTTTCAGGGGAAGCTTAGTTTTGCCTCCTCCACTTCTGAAAAAAGACACAGTAAGTGAAAAATATACATACTTCAATTACATAGGCAAATATTCTTCACAGTTAATCAGAACTGTATTGATTACAGCCAGCTCTTGAAATTAATAACATAACTGATCAGAAAAATGTAGTTGATCAATTAGAAAATTCAGTGGAAGAAGAGCTAATGAACATTGTCGGTACATTACCCAGGGAACAGCCAGGATTGTCAGCTCCTGCATCTCCAGTTCCAGGTTAGTTACAATAGTGCATTGAAAAAAAAAATTGGTCCGCATTTTCCTTATTAAATAAATCATATAAAATAAGTTAAATTCAAGACTAAAATCATATATTTTTTATAATATGTGCTATTCATGCTAAAATTGTCAGATTGTCTCAAAAATTGAATAACATATTTAGAAAAAAATTATAAAAGAATGTCCTCTGTTATCATGTGTACTGTTAAAAAAACACTTTTTTTTTATAAAATTACTTTCTTTCAAGTAGTAAATGTCATCAGTAAAGTAGTTTAAGAGAAAAGCAGAAGTGAACCAGACTCAATTTACATGCTTCCTTTTCACGAACAATTTAGGGAGGTTTTGATTTACTGTTGACAAACGCATTCTTGGCTATCTGGGATGAGCCGCATCTCAGTCAATTGTACAATACAATTAGTACAATTAACTAAGACGCGGCTCATCCCGGATAGCCAAGAATGCACTGACTCTGGCCTAGCTGGAAGTTTGCAAAAACTTACAAAATCATTCGTCAATAGGAAGCATGTAAATTGGGTGATAAAAATGGTTTAGAAACAACTAAACTTAATTTTAATAATACCACCATATAAATTCTATAATATTACACTACAGTAGAGAAGCTCACCCTTTTCTATTAGCATGAGTTTATTGTTAATTTATTAGCATTATGCCTTATTAAGATCAACAGTAAACTTTACACTAATGAGACTTATCTACTTCCTCAAATCATGAAAACAAAACGCATTTTTTCACTAGTACACTTACTGTGTGCATAATTAACATGAATTTCAAATTCAAATAACTATTTAAAAGATGCTAAACAACGAAAAACAAATGTTTCTTTACTGATATCTTTAAGAATATATTTTTAAGGTATTGTGTTGAACACACATTTGCAACTTCTATCCTAGTAGTAGAGCTTCAGGCAGCACTTGAAAAATTCCAAACAAAGCAAAGTGGAGGAGATTAAAAAAATAAACATTTAATGTTTTGAAGATTCAATATTAATAAGTGATAATGATATACTGCCATTGAAAGTCAGTGTATTGTGTTCCTCTATTCTAATGATTCTAGTGTCATACGTTTTGTATTTTAATGCTGTAATAATTGTTAATGTAGAAGTGAGTCCAACTCTATGTCATTATAAAACTAAAAGAATAGGTAAAAACTATTAATATTTAAATTGAAAAATACATGAAGTGATTTAAAGATCTAATATTGCAGAATAGATGCATTTAAAAAAAACTTTAATAAAGTAGTTGAAGAGTATCAAAAGACTTTTGAACTTTTGCAATTTTTGAAATTCCAGTGGTTTCAATGAAAATTGGACTCATGTCATATTAAATACACAGCCTTTGTTATACTCAAGCAAAAAAATTTGGAACCATCTTTATGATTTTTTTTTTGACACAATTTCACTCTAAATTTTGAAAACACTTAATGTATTTTGAAACAATTGTTCTTACTAAATCTAATTTTAAAGACTAGATATCATTACAAGAAAGAATCTTTCTTCAGTGTTGTGGTTGACAGAGAGGGTTCAAAGATTTTTAAACTTTTCCAATTCTTGAAAATTTGGACTTTTTTGGCCTTTCAAACAAATAAATTTTTAAAAAAATTTTGAGCTGTTTTGAGAAAAAAAATCAAATTGTCTTAGGAACTTCATGTAAAATACTATCCAAAATTAAAAGATACTAGGAGCTTCATGTCGCCCTGTTGATTGACAGGGGAATTTAGTGAAAATTCCGTATGTGGTTTAGGTGCTAATGTAGTTCACAGATGATGTTTTCAGGATCAATGACTCTCAAACATGTATTTTAATTATTTATAGAACAAATATAAAAACATTTATCATCAGGACCCACAAAACCCTTTTTCTGACAAACATCACTACTTTTTCCTGCAGCATTACGTAACTTTCAGAGTATAAACTGTATATTCACTATACAAAGTAATTTTAATAATCCTTATCTATCTAATTCAGTAACCTAAACTAAGCTCTAATTTTTAACTACCTATTTAAAGATGCCTTATCACATTAATTATCAGTTATCATTTTCATTCTATATATTGTAAATGTAAAGATAAAAATTTTCTTCATGTACGATGGGAATGCTCTATTAAACTCCATTTTCTTCAACAGTTATTCAAGTAACACCACCACCACTTACTGGAGCTCCAGAAAATATACTGACAGGAGAAGTCAACAAGAATGAGGATGAAAGTCATCCAATGACAGAAGAAGAACTAGTAGAGTTAATGCTAGGTCATGCTGAAGTAATCACAGGAAACGCTATAGGGTAGGTATATTATCATAACTGGGACTATCTCTTAAATATTCTCATAGATGATGTAGTTATATTTTATTTGTTGTATAATATACTTAACCACATTTAACTTAAACATATAAGGTGAACTGAGTACCAGCTGAAAACAAAATATTGAAAATAGTAAACCTTTATTTGAAATATATTTATTATGTCCTAGTAATTTAAATATCATAAGTTTAATTCAATTGTAAATTAAAAAAATTATCATCAAAGAAAAGAGTATTAAATGTGGTAAACTTTTACAGCTTTGTTTCAGGTTAATAGTCAACTTATGCTAATCCATTTAGTATAAGTATTTGCAAACTTCGGTAATATTTCTTATCAGTTTAGAAAAAAAATCTGAAATTCAAACTTTACTTTCACGGATAATATTTTATCTATATATCCGTTTTTCAATTAATTAAAATAGCTTGTAATTGCCTTTTAAGTTGACTTCATCTTAAAATTTTAAAATAAAAATTGTGAATAAAATTTTTAATTCTTTATGAAATTATCTTAGTGAATAAATTAATTGTGAGCCATGAATTATCCCAGTTATGTTATCACCTAGGGTTGATTTCTTCAAAATGGCTCCCCAATGTGAGGTTATTGACAGGTCTGAGGTCCTTCAGGCCATAAAAGATGAGAAAGTAAATGAAGCAAAGAGAACCATAAGTAAGTTTCTTCAACAACCTGACCGACCTAAAGTGAAACCAAAACAAAGTGAGACTCCTGCAGCAACTCCTTACAAACCACAGATCATAATACCTAAGAAAGGGCAGTCAGGACCAGAGGCAGAAAACAAAACAAACCAACAGCCCTCAGAGGAGCCAAGTGAAGAAGAAAAACAAGAGCAAACAATTCAAGAAGAAAAACAAGACGACAAAGCAATTCAGGAGGAAAAAAAAGATGAGCAAGAAATCCAAGAGGAACAAAAAGAGGAAAACAATCAAGGTGAACAAACAAGGCCAGTGGAACAAAAAGATAAAGAGGCAGTGGAACAAACACAGGAGCAAATTCAAGAGCAGGCCAACTGGGACTCTGATCTGACTGAAGAGGAGCTGGCCATTTTAAAGGTGAATTCAATTTTAAATATATATTCAATTATGTTAAAAAGCACAATAATTAATTTTAGGATTAAATTGATTTTCTCTGCTAAAAACTAATTAAGAAGAATTTACTTGAAACTGTACTCTGACGGTATGATATGATTTCAAAATCTGACTAAAAAAATACAAAGTGAAAATAAACCTTCTTTCAATTGGTTTTAGGAAATGGCTGCAATTAACTCACGCATATTAGATTTCAATCAGCAAACAGAAAATGAGACTCAAAATCGTAGCCCTGAGTTTGAAAAACAAATGAGAAAAATTAACGAGCAACTGGTTAACTTATTATGCATGCCAATGGATATGCAACGGTCGTTAATGCATGTTAGAAAGCAACTGGAGGATCTGAGAAGACTTAAAAATCCTCCCCCTGAGCCTGAACCAGAGCCTGAGCCTGAGCCTGAGCCTGAGCCAGAACCTCAAGTAGAGCCATCTGATCAAGGTAAGACATTTGCTTTCATAGTGGGGGCAAATTATCTATCTCTCCAAATTATTTTAACAGTATATGGGGTGGTACAATAGTTTCTAAGAAAAAGTATTGTCACATATGAACAAGGTGTTTTTTTTTCTTCTAAGAAACAGTAATTAAGTTGTAACATGTTGAAGGTCATTCAATATAATATAACTATATGTTTCAATTAATTCATTTAAGATATTTCCATAGCAATGTTTTCTAGATTCCCCCTGTTTATGAACATTTCAATTGCTCTATTTAATGATCAGTCCCATTACAACAGAAACATTTATTATTATTATTATTTTTTTGAAGACCACACAAGATACCTTCAGTAAATAAACAACAGAAAAACAAATGCGATTCTGATAACATTTTCAAAAAATTTACCTAGCAATAGAATTGTTTTTATCAATGGTTATTTTATGAAGGAAGTGTAGCTGGGAAAACTCCTACACCAACACCAGGAAATGAAGACCAAAGTGGAAAAGTTTCTCCCCACGATGGAGAGTCAAACCCAGAAGGTCATCAGGAAAATCCTTCAGGAAACCCTGAAGAAGGCACACAAGAAGCTGAACCTGAACCTGAACCTGTGGAAATAGGACCTCCAAAACACCCACGGAAAGATATCAAGGTATCCAAAGATGATTTTTTATTTTCACAATACTTAACTTGAAACATGGCTTAAGTTACCTTTTTTTGTTTCACAGTGGCAGAAAGATCCCACACCAAAAAATAAGCCTTTTTTTCCATTAACTCCAAAACCTCGTCCTGTAGTCTTGCCACAAGATGCACCTCTATTTCATGACAATGAATTGTTTAGTGAAGATTTTATAGCAGAAACTCTAAGTGGCAATGCTGAAGTTATTCAGGGTAAAGCAATTGGGTTAGTATGAAACGATCATAGTCAGATTTGGCAAAAACACATTGCAAAAAACAATGGCACAAATCATGAATTATGTTTTACAGGGTAAATTTCTTGAAGTTTAAGAAAAATTATGACCATCTGCAATCATCAAATGTTTATCAAATGATTCATAATGAAGAGAAAAATGCACCAAATTTTCCCTCAAGGTCAGGTAAAATTCCATCAAAAGAAGATTGTATAGAAAACGCATCTACTGGTAATTAACGAGTTTTCACCCAAAACATGAATTTTCAATACTTCTTTGATAAGAGGTCTTGAAATTTCTAATGAAAGTAGTTATTAAGATGCTTTACTAACTCCTCCATTCATTCGTAAAAACTTTTAAAACTGATAACCAACTTCTAACTTTTCATTTATGATTGTTAACGAAAACATACTAGCTATTTATGGCACAAAAGAGGTAAGCAAAATATTGTTAAGTGAAAATATTCCAAATTTACTCATTTTCTGAGGTGCAAAAAAATTAAATTTGAATTATCAGATATCATAAAATTTATAACCCCATGCTATCTCTTATATTGTTATTACTGCATTGTTAACAATCAAAATTCAAAATGAAATATCTATTAATAATCTGCATTTGTTGTTGATGACCTAAACAACACAGTATCATATGTAATTCCATGAGTGCTTTGGAAATTATTGATAAATTCCCAACCCACGAAGCGAGGAGGGGATTTATCTGAGAATTTCCAAAGCATGAGTAGCATTTAAGAGGACTATTCCATGAGTAAAATTATGTCCAACAAAGTTCCAAAATGGGCCTCATATTGAAAATAACTGAAAGCTATGTTAAAATCACATGACACAGCGATCGATGTAGAATACCACCACCTAAGATAGATGAGTCACAATTTCTGATTGGCCAGTAGGAAGATGCGGTAAGAAAAATCGGATAGAAAAAGTAATAAAAGTTTTGAGAAAAGTTCTGAAATGCCTAATTGGGGCATTTTGTATGTATAGTTAAACACTTATTGATTTTCATTTAACGAGTGGAATAGACACCTATAATTTGAAATTATTTTATGAGCACAAAATTTTAATGAAATATATGAAATGAAATAAATAAAATCTTGTATTTACAACAGGAATAAAAATAGCTTTATTCATGTGGCACTAAATTTTATGAAATGTTAATTTTAATCCTTTATTCATTAAAGAACATTATTTCATTTAAGAATAAAGTGTTCATGATGACGGGAAAAACAAAATATTGTTTTCAAAGCACAGATACTTTTATTTTCATATAAAATGCAACTTGCAAATTTTTCCATATGAAAGATTGTCATTTTATTATAGAAGATTAAAAGGTGTGCATACAATATAAATATACTCATTTCATGTTGTAAAATAATATTTGGAGAATGGAGGATATTAAAATGTTTTAGAAACTTGTTTTAAGAAATAAAAATTTTGTGTGTAACCTATTTTAAATTATTTTGTAAATGACTCACCTATATGGCCAACAATCACATTACCAATGTCCTGCAAATTTTTTATTACCTATATTGCCCTTGCCATCATTTTTTGTTGTAAAAAATTTGTTTTAAGACTCATATAATTACTCATAAAGAACTATTATAGAAGAGAAAGAAGGTAAAATTAGAAGAAAAAACACAGCATTACCAAATACCCACTTCGATACTTATCCTTTTCGGAACAAATATCTCTCTTTATTCAAGATCTTCCTCAATTTCAACATTCTGTTATAAATCCTGAAGAATAAAAGATTCTACAGGTATTTTAATATCAAATAATTTTGGCACATTAAGAACTAAAATATTTCATGAACATTGAGAGCTTTTTATTAGAGGAAGTCAAAATGCGTCACACTTTCAATTTTTTATGCAAATACAAAGTTAATAATTTTTCAAAGTTTCTTTTCAAACTCTATGCAGTCAAAATTACCTCGCATATATCAAAAGAATATTAACATTTCAATTTTTATAAAACTTCATTATCAGTCATTAAGAATACATACAATCAACAAGAAGATAAACGACAAAACATACAATTACTGTTGTTGATTCAAAAATAAGTAAGAACCATCTACAAAGTTAAAGAATGACAAAACTGAAAGCAATTTTTGTAGTATTATCTATCAATTATTCACATGGTACTGAAACTAGGTTCTCATTTTATTATTTTGCAAATTAATTTAATGAATAGAAAAGAACATAACAATTATATGTATAATGAAAATATTATTCAGAAGACAAATGCAAATATATTCCTGCATCTGTTTTCACAATGGTTACGTCAACTTAAAAAATAAATAAAAGTATTGGTCATTATTTACATCAGGTACACCTTCAAATCAATAATAATAATAATATACATAGAATATCAAGGACCATTTTTACAAGTTCATAAATGCACCAATTGCAAACAGGATCTTTGCATTTGATGTAATTTTGGTTAAATCTAATTAAAACTGTGCCTTTTAAAAGATATAATGAAGTTAGCTTAATACATTTCATTGAATCTTTTTGATTTATACATCAAGTCAAATTTAAACACTAAATTATGACCGTTTGTTGAATAAAGTGAGTACTCAAAGTGAAGAAAGAAAAGGAAAAAAAATAACAACCAAACGTTTGCCTAAACTATGCTTTGTAAAATAATTTAGCACCATCCTAGCTAATAGAACTACAAAGGCCAATACCGGCTAATGGTTTCAGTTTTCCATGAAATAATTCTCTCTCCATTCTTTGATAATAATAAAAAACACTATGCAAAATATAGACATTAAATGTTTAATCTTTTTATGAAGGAATTAATTTAAACAAGTCATTCAAATGAAATTGATAAAGCAGTGAACTTCAGAAATGGTTTAATGAAATCAGTGGGACAAGAATACAAAGTGATACATATTGAACATTACTGTTATACAACGTTGCCTTTAAAGGTTGATATTGGAGTCCTAACCCTCAAGAAAATTATGAATACTCTGAGTGAAGAACTTCCAGGAAAGGCAGTGGAATCATTCAACAGTAATTTGTTTCATTATAATCATTTTCTGTGAATTGCAGCTTAATAAGAGTTCTTGAATAGGCCTCAGACATAATAGTAGTAACAAGGCCATACACAGGTGTTAGGGATTCTACATGCAGACTTGTTGCAGCAATTCCAATGAAAAGTTTTCAAACCTCTGATGTTTCACCTTTCACATCTATCATATATTTGTTCCACTCATGAAAACTTTTGTAGGACAATAATGAAATCTACGTCACTGTTGAAGCTGAATGCCACAGCTTCGAGCAGATGCCCTTCTCCCAAGGTGTGCTTTATCTCATGGACGCAAGTAACCTTCATGGCAACTAAGAATAACAATTATATTCCATATTCACTACTTATTCTGTTTACTAACCACACTGATTCCATGAAATCATTTGTTAAAATCACAGCAGTCCCACATCCATTTGCATAACCCATATACTTTATTTCTCATAGATAAATGGAGGGAGAGAGACGTGAGAGGTAAGCCAAGCAAAAGAACTGAAAAAACATTAAGATATGAGTAAAAAATGGTTAAAAAATGTAAACAGACACTGAATAACTGTGAAATATTCTTGATTTTAAAAATGAAATGAAATCAAAAATATGTGCAAAAGATAATTCTTAAAATACATAAATACAGTTTGTCTTGCATGTAACATTGATTTACAACATTATTAAATCATTGTAAGTAAATAATTTCTTAGAAAACATTTTCAGGATTATGGTTCAATTCAAAGAAGATGGTGATTGACAGTTGCAAGAGGAAAGGAATGGAGTGGTGTTGTCAGGTTGTGTACAACTGAGCACATGTTCGTGAGACACAAAAATAAATACTTATAAAAGAAATCAAATCATATACAAATTTCGTACAAACCAACAGCTTCAGGAGCACAACTGTCAATCACAACTTATTTAAATCACATTATAAGTAACTTGAAAGTCACTTCAAACATTATTTTTTTATTGTTTATAATCTACATTTGATTATTTATGATATATTAAACTAATCTTTGTTTACATTTTTTTTATAGTTCTAGGAATTATAACAAAGTTACACATACTGAAAAGTGTGAACATTAAATAAAATGTTAAAAAGGAAAACTTACTATTATCAGATAAAGCTAAGGAAAGGAATCATTTGCTACTGATGGATAATTGCTTAAAATGGCTTAACTCTCAAGTCACATCCATTTCTTTTGCATGTAAATACTATTTCATAAATTCAGCCAGTTTTGCAATAAAAAAAATGTAAAACAATGATTAAAAAAAACTGAAGTGATGAATCACTTAAATCATTTTAATGATAATCAAAAATACCAATTTCACGTTCTATGAAAAATGTCATTTTTCACTTATGTATGCTCTAAAATAACCTAACTAAATCACAAAGTGTTTAGAACCAGATCATACACATATTCTTCAAACAAATGCCCTATTTCATTTCTACAAAATAAAGTAACTAGTTAAATGCATTGAAAATCAAGTATTGATGAAATTCTTCAAAAGAAACTGCCTGTAATGTAAAACCTCTATATACATAACATTAACACTATTTACATTAATGCAAAATCACAATTACAATTACAAATAAAATCAAAATTAAAGTTAATGTGAATTCATGCAATTATGGCACAATCAAATGGTATTTAACTCTCAAGATTTAAACCCCTTCCTACATGTCATGATTTGCGGTAAAAAAACAAAATTGGAGGTAATTTCCTATTCTTGGAGATCTTTTGTGGGTGGGTGTAAATTCATTCATCAATAAATTAATCAATATATACACATGGACACTTGCAAAACAACACTAATCAATTGAAATACCCAACTTCCACCATTAAGTACTCCAAACCACTAATATTTTCACGTCTCACTCATAGGATATGTTTCATTTACAAGGATTGAACAAACGCCAATGTCAAGAAAAAAACAATATTTTAACAAGGATGTAGTCACAATATTTGAAAATGATGTTTTAAGACATGTTACTCACAGCTGGGAGGTTTCCAAATTACAGTATTACAGTAACAATGAATTCTGGGTAGCTACTGAGAAGAATCCTTTTTTTCCCTCACAGCTTTCAAGGGAGATTCTGAACGCTGCCTTTTACTTGACTGAGACACTTTACTTCGTTGAGAAACAGAACGTTTGGGCCAATGCTGCTTCTTCATACTCTTAGCGATAACTCTCTTTTGATGATCTAATTGTGGAAATAAACTATGAGATAATTCTAATGCTTCTTTAGCTGCACTCATTTCAGCTTGCTGAATACTATGCCCAGATGCTTTTGCTAGTCTACTTCCTCTAAAATAAACCGCAACAGTATAAATTCTTGTATTGGTAGGACCTTTACATTCAATAACTTTATATACAGGAATATCAGGCTCACCTCCATCCATTGATCTTAGAGTAAGACAACACTGTTGCAACTTAGATTTAGGATCATTCCAATCCTGATTCATAATAAAATCCCTCAAACGAGGGAAAAAACAAACATTACAAAACAATTTACAAGGCTCTAAATTTTTGTCAACAAATAATGCCCCAAGAAATGCTTCCAACAAATCAGCACGATCTTTCGTCTTCAATTCTGCTTTTGGATTGGCATACAAGGCATAATTAGTCATTCCCAGATCATTGCACACAACAGCTTGTGTTCGATTATTAACCAATGAACTACGAAGAAGGGACAAATGACCTTCATGATGCTCTGGAAAATATTTATACAAGTATTCTGAGGCAATTAACTGCAAAACTGTATCACCTAAAAATTCAAGTCTTTGATTTGACCCAAGAGTTAAATTTGTATATCCAATGCTTCTATCTGTAAAAGCTCTTGCGAGCAGGCGAATATGCCTAAATTCAATTCCAATAGCTTTCTCAAATTCTGTTAATTTTTGCAAAATTGGAAATGAAGGAATCCATTTGCGATCCCCAAGGGGTTCCTGAACTTGAAGGGGATGAGGTGGTAAATCTACCCAAACCTCTAAGAGATCAGTATTGTGACCAAACAATGTTTCACTAAAAACCTTGTCAGCAACTCCTATACCACCATCAAGAAACAATGCTCCCATCAGGGCCTCAAAACAATTTGCCATAGCATGCCGCAGTTCTAAATCATGACACAAATCAGAACCATGAGCATACAGCATATATTTTTCCAACTGCAATGTTTTAGCCAAAAGAGCTAAATGCTGATTTTGTACAATTGCTGCCCGGTAAGTTGCAAGTCCACCTTCTTCTAAGTCAGGAAACATGTAAAACAAATGAATGGATGTAATAAATTCAACTACAGCATCACCTAAAAATTCAAGTCGTTCATTGTGAGCAATATTAGACTCTGTCTCTGTCTTCTTTCCAAATCGTGACATTATGTTAATTAATGTATTGATACCCCGTTTTCGTGTATTCATGTAATGAATACGGCGGTCCCCATATTCCGGTTGTCGAATTCCACAATTTGTCAATGAATTACGAGCATGATCAGGATTTGTTCCAAAGTTTTCTCGATAGGAAGGATGTGTCAAAGCCAATTGTAAAAGGAATCTGTTTTTGAATTTATATTTGATCACCTTCTCTAACTCCCCACAAGATCTATGGAATCGCAAATGGCACACCAGTACAGGGATAAGCATTGCATGTTGTATAATATCGCACATTATACCTGTGCGATGGAAACCCTTTGCAGACATTGCAACAGTAACATCTCTTTTCATTTTGTTTTGTGTTCTCATTTCTTGAAGTTTGTTTTCCTTGGCTTCAAGCTTCCGTTTATCTTCAAATGAAGGTTTTGCCATATTGGCCAATAAATGACGAAATTTCACATACGCTCTCCATGCTTTTTGATATTCAGGATTTCCTGCATAGGACAACTGTGGTGGTCTAATACCAAAATGAACTATTTCTGGGTAGTTGGTAGACTCTTTTTTTGGTTGATCTCTATCTAGTTGATCGACTCTCACAGAACATGGTTTTTTGCCAGGAAAAGTAACAACCATGCCTTTCACCTCATCTGCAAAGTTTTGCCACTTAAACTGTGGCATTTTTAATAGTTCATCTAATTTAGTTTCATCTACAAGAGGTTTATTGCTGTTAAGAAGGTATGTCAATACTTCACTCATTGATAAGATTTCTTTCCCATTATCAGGCAAGTCCCGCACAAATCTGGGCATAAAATGAAACTGAGAACAACCAGCAGTATCACCATGAGCTTTAAAATCCAAATCAACCAATTCAAGTAGTTCTCTAAATAAATAATTATGAAATAAATCCAATTCTAGAACTGTAAAATTTTCAGGAAATTTTTCCTCAATATAAAGAATGGTGTACTCGATATTGAACCGAATAACCTTACATGTTGGTATTTTGTCAAGAGGAAAATGAGAAAACATTGAGAATCCTTCAAAAATAAATTCATGTTCATCATGATTGATAATAGTAGGGGTTTTAGTTAAAAAGTTTGTTGGTGGAGAGATAGTAATTCGATAATGATATAACCTATGTGCATTGTTTGTCAGCCCATCACATGTTGGTAGATGACTCTCTCCAGCGTAGATGCCATGTCGCATGCCATTGCGCCTTGCTCTAGCACTACAGCGACAAAGAGGCCCATCATTCATTTCTCCAGAATCATTGTACCACATCTCTGGATGCAAACGATGAGGATGCATTCTCTTGCGCTCTAACTCTTCCATTATACAGTCTTCTTCATCTTCATCTTCATCACAAGTACTATCTCCACTGGAAGCAGAATTGCACACCTCAGATTTATGCTTAGCTAATTTTGTTCGGTTTTTACGTGGAGGTGGTTCGTATTTTGGGCGAGAACTTTCTACCTTTGCTGCCCTATCAACAAGTTCAAGCTCAAACTTCTCACATAAAGCAGTAAGTTTAGGAGTGGCTCTCATTAATTTGGGACACTCATCATCACGAACATAATATAAATCAGCAGGAGCACTACGAGTCCATACTTTCTTTTCATCTTCCAAAATTTCCTCTGGCTTCATTTTAGCCAGTTCATCTAATTTTTTATGCATATCTTTTGTATTTGAACAATAATTTTCCCTCCATTTACGCAACAACAAATCTCTTTGGGTTACTTTCTGGTCTTTTTCTGCTGGCAAAGCTGCAGTATCAGGACTGGCACACCTTCTATATGAATTCACTGAATCAGGACTGACAGTTACTCTCTCTGTAGAGTTCTTCTTTCGAATATCAGCATTTTCATAAGACTTTGTTGAATTTGATGCAGTACAATTAGCATTTATTTTATCTGGCAAATCATTTCCACTGACTGCTGGGTCATTGTTACTTTTCGAGTTTTCAAGACCATGTAACTGAGAATAACAGTTTGAAGATGATTTATTTCTATCAGAGCTCTTAGAACGCCTGCCCACGTGACTCCTTGAATCATCATGTGCAGTAGACTTAGAGCTCTTGTAATCTGCATCTTTAAATTTATCTCGAGAAACAGACCTTGACAAATACTTCCTTTCCGGTGAACGTGAACATTTTTTTCTGTGATAATTATTAGGACTGCGAGAACGTCGCCGTCGTCTTCGAGAAGATGGACTTCTAGATTTTCTACTCCAAGATTCATTATCATCTGGACTTCGCGAATATCTTCGCCTGAATTCACTACGGGAACTAGGGCTTTGAGAGTATGTACGTCTAGATCTAGATGAATGCGAGGAATACCTACCATATTTTTTGTTATTTCTCTCTTCTTCATAAGAATATGATTGACGATTAACTGAGGACTCCGATTGCGAGGAACTTGAGTGATCTTGCCTATAATTATCAGTTCCTCTAGAAGATTTATTCCACATTTTTTCCTTAAAATGACTCTCTACATATGTACCCTGATTGTAAGTTGACTTATGCTCTCTAGATCTTTCACTATATGATCTTCTATCACTAGTATCACTGCGACGTTCCTCATATGTTCTCCTTTGTTTTGTGGTAGTTAAACACGAAGATGGTACAGGAGGGGGTTGTGGATAACATACATTTGTATCACCACATGATGTACTATTTATAGGAATAGTGCTAGATATTTGGGTAGGGTTTGCGTTTGTTGCAGTACTAATAGGAGGATTCTGCAAAGGAATTATATTTGGCCAAGAGTTGCTCCAATTAGCATCAGGAGGAGGAGGTGGAGGTACATGGTGAGTAACAAACATAGGAACATTTGAAGAAGAAGATGGAGGTGGCGGATATGGAGGTACATACAGTGTCTGATTGATCGTACAATCATATTTAGGCGGTGAATTAGTTGGTGGTGCAAAAACATAAGGTTGAGGAGGTTGAATTTTTTGACACGGATGACTAGTAGTTATTGGAGTTTGCCAAGAAGCACAAGGAGGTGCAGGTGGGACACCTGGTGGCTGTGGAGAAGGAAAGCGTGGAATATTTTGTGAGAAAGGGCACCGTACATCAGTCCCTGGAACAGGAACCTGAGATTTTCCCCATCCTGCATTCATGTGTGCCATAGTGAACAAAACGTATGAAGTCTTCAAGAATGTGAACACAAACTTCTTTGCAGATTCATCTTGGAAGATTCCACACATGAATTCATTCTCCAGCTGGAAGAAACGATAACAACGAAATTATTCCCAGCATTATGAAGCATTTTTTCAGTCACAAAGCATGTCATATGCTTTACCCACACACTTACATTTAACTCTGCATAATCATTATAAAATTGTATTCAATCAAGGGTTGTGGCATACCTGTTACTCAGTTGTAGTACTCCGTAGTGTGTTTCTTTTCCTACATGATGATTACAAATTATTATTGTCTCTTTCACGAATAAATATTATACTTGACAAACACAATCTCAAATTTTGTAGTCTTGTACATTCGATTCCGATTTTCGTTTGATTTCCTTTCCTTTGAATTAACTCAATTAAATTTAAACGTTTGATATGTCAAATGAGAAAGGATTGTTTAAATTAACGAGAGCGAACCAGGCGTAATGATTGTGTGGGGAAGTATAATGCAGGTTATAAGTTTCTGGTCTGGTAATGCGTGCGGACTTGATCCGATCTCGAACTTCCCCAACAGTTACTTTAAGACTTCATTGGTATATGTTTTAACAACTCTTTAGTTGTTTATAGCACTTCACTATCTGCAATCATTCATTTCACTACTTTCATAGAGTTATTAATTTTATTAGCTGCACTGATATTGAATGACAATGGTGTTTATACTACATAGCCTGGCCATTTTCCTTCCTGCAGACTGATCTTTCACAGTACGTTTATGAATAATAAATCGGTTTCGGCGGTCGTTGATGTAAAATTGCCTAAATTTTCACTGATTTTTACGCTCTGTGGCAGGGTTTGCTGGAACACGAAGCACCGTTCCGTGTGGTTCTGTGCCGTTCTGTGACCGTTCCGATGAGCACGGAGATCACTGACAGAGACAGAGAGTATTCACTGATCACTGCCATGACTGCCATCCTCAGTGAGGATTCCTCAGCCATCCTCTTGGTATATTCCATGGTATATACTTTATATATTTTCGTAGGAGTAATTTTAATGTAATACTCGGGCAACTTTTCTTGAACGATGGATTGACGATTTCGGGTGGAGTGGGGGTGTTAGTTACAAAGTAGGCCACTAGATTATTTTAAGTAATGCCAACGTCTGTGAAATGAAAGTCAAAACTGCATCTTGTGCTTAACTTTTTCGGGAGTTTTAGGTGACTCCCTTGAAGGGCCTGAACCTGACTCAGCCATTTCTTTCGATATTGACAATAAACCTGAACATGCGTTCTGCATTATGAAAGCAACTGGCTTTGACTAGCTTCTGTTTCGCGCCAACGAAGTTTCACTGCTTGGAAGGTTGTCATCAGTGCCCGCTGCGAGCTTTTGCGTTCAACTGTTTCTTGTACAAGGGAGGGGGTTCAACGTCATCGTTCAAGAAAAGTTGCGCGAGTAATATTCGGCATGGTGTTAGGTTATTAAGACTACTAATTTACAAACAGGAATGATTTACAGAAGTTGAGACTTACAGATATTGGTGATTTTGAAACTATTTTACTACAAACGGAAACAATTGGAGGGCGCCTGTGTGTAAACTGAATTTTTTAAAATATGCTTCTCTGGGAAACTTGAGGGTGGACGAAGCATGTGAGCGTACGCGATACTCTTTGGTGAAATCACAAAACAGTGAATAACTTAGTCATGGGTGAATACTTTGATGAATTGTCTACTTCAAATTCTGAAAAAATTCTATCTAAAGCAGGTCTTTCACTAATAGGCATTACAGGTAGAGTTAACAATAAATTTTATATTGAACTCAACCGCTTACCGAGAATTGCTAACTTTTAATTGCTTGACTTTTAATTTCATGCTTTGTAATGAATTTATTTAGGTGGGTTAGCTATGGCCCTAGTTATTGGTTGCGGACCATTCATTTCTCCAGCCCTTCGGCGTGTATGTCTGCCTTACATTCCTGCAACAGACACTCAAGTACAGAATATCTTGAAAGTCTTGTCTCAACGCAAAGGCAGATTATTAGATATTGGAAGTGGTGATGGGAGAGTGGTTAGTTGCTGTTTTCAATGAATTTCATTTCATTTAGACAAAATGAATATTAAAACAGAAACATATTTTTAAATATGCCTCTCAACAGATTTATTTGTAGGTTATTGCTGCTGCCAAAAAAGGCTTTATTGCGGATGGTGTTGAACTTAATCCATGGCTTGTAGCATTTTCCAAGTGGCAAGCTTTGCGACATGGAGTGCAACCTAAAACAAATTTTTTCTATTGTGATTTATGGAAATTTAATGTTTCACCTTATAACAATGTAATCATATTTGGTGTAGAAGAAATGGTGAGTAGATATATTAAATGAGCAATATGGTAGTAAAAATATATAATTATTAATTTATTTTTTTCTTTTGGTGCATTTTGCATTACATCATTGTACAAATGTTGTTTGCCCAATAACTCAGATTTGAATCCGCTTGTAAAAAATACTACTACACTGTTTTTTTGACCCCTGACATTAGTTAAAACATTTTTCGTTTATTATTGCCAATCTGGAAAAAAAACATTGGTACAAATTTAATTTAGTATTAATACATGTGGTAGTACAAATTTAGTATTTTACATTTAAGGAAAATAAAAAAAGTTAGCAAAGCAAGAAAAAGTTTTTTGACAACCGATATGATCCTACTATTCAGTAACGAGGCGCAGATGGTTTTAAAACAAATACTAAAATTTGTATTTATTTGCAGATGAGTGAATTAGAAGAAAAATTGTTTCAAGAATTGGATAATGGTGCTGCTGTTATTGCTTGCAGGTTTCCTCTTCCTTCAAAAACTCCTGTATTTACTTGTGGAATGGGAATTGATACTATATGGTTATATGAGATTAAGAAGGACAGTTATTGATTGGTCACTGAGATAATTATGAGTGGATATGTTTTATCTTGATTTTGTTGCTGAATGAAGTAGAGTCTGTACTTAAGGTGGTATGTTCGTGCCAGTTGCCAGTCAAACACTCGATCGTTTATTACAGATTAACAACAGCTGCTTCTAAAGGTGAAAGGAGCATTTAAATAGTTACTTATAGAAAGTTGAAAGAGAAATATTGAATATTTGCATTAGAGAAACAATGCTATCTAATCAATTTAGTCTCTGGCATGACATTTTATTTTCACAAGTTGCCAATACTTAATGTAGGTTAGATTGACTTCAGCACCCATTCTTTTCTTTCTTTCTGTGTTGAATATTAGTCCACCTTGTTTACATTGAAAGTGGATTATCATCAAACAGTTTGTATTTGTGTGAGTTAAAAGAAATTAAGTTAGCATGGTTTTATCTTGTATCCAAAGAGGAACATTGGTGACAATAGAATGCTTTGTACAGCATAACTCCAAGGTCAAGTGTGATGGAGAGCCAGTACTTCCAGTTGCAATGAATTTTGCAGCAGTTTTTTTTATCAATTATTTGTTAGAATGCCCGGTGAGGTACGTTACATTTAATACCGGCTGATAAAGTACTTTCACTGAAAAATCCTTCTATAACTTAAAAATCCCATGCCGTGAAAATTTTTCCATAAGAGCCCATATTAATATGAACTTCTTTTATTAAAAAAATGGGCCAGTGTTTTTCTTTCAGTCTTGAAGAACACAGATTTTGCTTTCATTTAAAGTACTTTTTGGAGGTTCTTCACTGTGGTTGATCTAATGAATATACTGCCCTAAGAAGTAATTTCTACCTGGTAAATCAAGAAGCAAGGAGTCGTCCAAATTTACATGTAGAATTTTGTGAAAATCTTTTTTGGTAATGCAAGTTTGGATATTTTGGGATAATTTTAACTCCATCAGAACCAGTTAACAACCTGCAGGACCTGTACCATTTTTTTCATGTGGTGCCCCTTTTATTATTTTGTGTATTTTTTCAACAGTTATGCATAGTTATCAAGACGATACTGTACACTTTAAAAAGAGATCTAAAGTTAAATATATAATGTAGCTCCCGGATTGGAGTATATAAATACTCGAATCTAATTACAATTACTCTAGGCCAAGTTCAGAGTCAAAATTGGGACATTTGGACGTTTTCTATTATGTAAATATCTTTTTCAAGAAGAAGAAAAAAAAAGAATTCAGTGTCTAGTACACATTAAAGTCCAAAAAATGCATGCTTACAGTTTAAACGAAATATTTTTCATTTTATTTACTAATTCACACAAAGTTTGAGAGCAATATTTTTTTCAAAAGGATCCATTATTTAAAGGATTATAATAATAGAAGATATGTAACATATATAAACTAAATCAGGTCAAATTCTTCTGGATGATTCAGAATGTTTAAATATTGCAAAATAAAATTGAAATAAATAAAATATTTCCCAAAATATTAAATTATAAACATTTAATAAAATGACAATGTTATTAATTTTCAATCTTGATTGAGCTCTATTTATCCAATCAAACATTTACACAATTTTGCAGTAGAAAACTCGTTGATTATTCTTGTTGTATCAATTTTTTTGAGTAGTTCCTGTTCAGTATTCATCAAAGAAAGATTCGTCACTCGTATTTGGCTCATACTGGCTCTTATTTCACTCTTTGATTTTGTCATTTAATAAATGGTTATATTAGTGAGAGTTATAAATTCTGAATCGTAATTGAAATAGAACACATATTGCTTCAAAACTCAAAGAAACATTTACACAATAAATATGAACATAAGAGAATTAGCTAATTCTTTTCGGATTGTAATTTATGCAGTAACAACGTATCCCAGCAAACAGACATATAAATCTCAACCCAGTGGTTTTGCCGTTACCCAGCATTGAAAATTAAACTTTAAGATCATAGTACATATATGTACTTTGGTTTCTGTCTTTTTTACAGTAGGAAAAACTTTTTTTTTCACTAGTGACACACTTTTAAGTGCGTCACTTTTAAGTAAGGGACCGTAGCTCATGCTGCATGTGCTACTAGGATAAACTGAGACTGCACCCTGAAACACATAATGCAAGTTTGAATCCTCTTCAAAATAATAATGTATCACTTGTATTACACACACACACACACACGTACTAGGATATTTATAGTAAATATAGTATGCAACTCATTGTTACTGCTACACTTCATACTATCCTCTTTTACCATGAGAAACAATGCAGTTCATCCCAAAATTATTTGGATATCTATTAATTTCAAGCATGTTAGTCCAAACTTTTAGACTGGCTTATGACAGAAGTTTTTGAAACTGGTGGCGCTACAGAATGACTTTCTTGTACTAGTTAGTTTTGTAATTTCTGTGTTCTGGTCTAGCTTTTCGGTCTTGCCCCATTCCCTTGCCAGCTGCCATCTGTCACTGCCCATACTACATTTTACTTTAAGAATATTACAGAAGAGTAAAATCTCATCCTATTTGGAAATTTTGCTTGAAACATTTGGAGACTTTCTAAGAAGATTAAGCATTACTGTAAATGTGAAATTTGAAGCTCATCATCACAGAAAATTTTCGAGTTTTCTAAAAACTTCATTGGAAGTCATTTGAAGCACTTTCATTCACTAGTGCAAGTATGTATACAAATCGCTCTAAATGTGCGTATTTACGAAGTAAGAGATATTTCAAAGAAAGTACACTTGAATAATTTTTTAAAAAACAAAAGGTACAGGAAAAAACTTTATTGTCATCTTGTACAGTGCTTTTAGACCAATGTGAACAAAACGTTATAAGTGAAAAATTGGAGCCGTTTTTGCATCCGAGCATTTCTCAAAATGCGATATTTTGGGGCTTATTTTCACAGAAAATTTTTGAGGTTTCGACAAACTATCAGATATTATTTGTAGTACAGTTACTCATAAGTACAATAATGTGAACAAATCATCGAATGTAAATATTAACGACACGAGAGACTTTTTTTTTTCCATTTTCGAAAAAGAAATGAATATAGCAAAGTGGCATATATGTCATCTTATGTGGAACATTTAGCACTACTTTCACCAAAAGTTTAAAGAAAAACTTTGGACCAGTTTTTGAGAAATTGTTGATATTTCAATATTGCAGTAAAACTACTAAAATTTTCAAATCATGTACATAGCCTTAATGAAAGTACTAATTATGGAGAACAAATTCATTTGAATTTTGTAGCTGTAGGAAGACACTATAAACATTTGAACTATTGCAATTTTCGGAAATTCAGAATTAGCAGTGAAAATCGGGCCTATATAACCATTATAAGTGTATGTCACTATGTTCTTGCAAGACATTTAAGGAAAAAATTAGGGAGCCGTTTTTGAGAAAATTTTGAAATGCTGCATAACATCCTAGGACATCATATAAAGTACCCTTAAAAGTAAAAAAGTATTTTTCAAAACTGCAGAATTTCCAGTCGAGCCAGATCGACCAGGGAATATTAAATTTGGAAAAGAAAAAAAAAATACTATGAATAGTTTAGACGCTAGTCTTGGTCACAAACTGATGTACGTCAAAAAAATCAATTTTCCTCAGCACTTCGTATTTTACTCGTACGTATACGAGAAAGAAAAGTGGTGCTATAGAATGACACAGCCTTTCCCGAATTAGTTTTCTATTTTCTTGGGTCTGGGCTAGTTTTTCGGACTTGCTACATACTCCTGCCAACTGCCCATTACCGCCCAAACTACATTTTTTTGTTGTTGACTTTTTTTCAGTTATTTTTAAGTAGATGCGAAACATTACTTTCAGAATATTAAAAAAAAAAGAGTTAAACGTCGACCTAAATGGCAATTTTCATTCAAAAATGTGGAGCCGATTTCGAGAAAATGGTCTTAAAGCGTTGCTGTAAATGCGAAATTTGAAGCTCTTTTTCACAGAAAATCGTTGCGCTTTTGAAAAAAAGTAATTGAAAGTCATCTGAAGCACGTCTACTCACAAATGTAATGATGTTAACAAATCGTTGGAAATGTGCATATTAAGAGCATGAGAGAATGTCAAAAAAGTACATAGTGTAATTTTTGAAAAAAACAAAAGAACACAGATACATTTTGTTATATTAAATAGTGAAATTTAGATTTATTTAGTAAAAAAAAAACAGTAAAAACTGTGTGACTTGTGGGGGAGAACATTATCGGCGTGCGTTTTCATGAGTTCCAGAATCCCTTCCCGTCATTCCAAATATAAATAGTTGATAGCTGATCAAAAGTTTAAAATAAATTTTAAAATAGCAAGATTAGCAATACTTGAAAAAATTGACATGTTCGTTTCAGAGTTATAGAAAACTTATTTGCATTGGTAAACGAATTGCAAGTATGATTTTTCTGCATTGCTAACAAAATACCCTTACCATTACAAGCAACCAGCCTTACCATTACCATTACCGCCCTTACCATTACAAGCAAAAGGAGAGTTCAACAAAACGTGCTCTTAGTGAAACTACTTTTACGTCCAAAATCAAAACAAAGGGCCATCGCAGCATTTGCTCAATGGATCAGGGAAACAGGACAAACCTGATCGAGATGGGGGTCATTGACCCGGAAGCTGAAGTACATGATATCCCTCTCTCTCATAAACATTCATTTAAAGTACTTTCATATAAAGTACCTCATTAACATCATTGACATAAAGTTTGAAGAAATAATTTGTTTTTTGAGAAGATGGCGTTTAAGAGTTTCTAAAAATTTGGAGATAATTTTCTCAGAAAACTTTTGAGATTTTGAGACACTTTATATGACAGGGTGATAGCGCAATAGTGGCATATCCCACATTTTTAGGAAATTGCGTTCTCTGTGTTAATCGCATCTTAATCTACCTAACTTCAACGTGTAACACTTTCAGCATGTTGGCGTCGATAGTTTTCAAGTTATAATTACAAAAAGAACTATTGCAATTAACCTACGATTAATTTTTTTTTTTTTTGCAATAGTGGCCTAAGCATAGGCGATGCTGTTTTACACAAGATGTAATCCACCACAAATGTTTAGTCAGTGGTCATTCTTACATAATATCATAATATGAAAACACTTACAAATGAGTGTTTAATTTTGCCAATAACTTCATCAGCCATTTTCTCCAAACACAGGATCTGGGGATAGGCCACTATTGCGCTGACACCCTCTATCGTATCATTTAAAGAGCATGTACTCGTAAATGCAATAATGTGAACAAATGGCCACTAATGAAAATATGAATGACGTGAGAGGCTCTTGAAAAACATTAATTTCTTGTAATTCTTGGAAAAAAAGAATAAAGCCATATGTTGTTTATGCCATCTCGTAGAGTACATATAAAAGTATCCCTATTAAAATATTAAAGAAAAAATTGGGAGCCGTTTTGAGAAAATGTTTTTTCTATTTTTTAAATGGAACATATTGCACCAGAACTACTAATCATTTCAAAAGATGTACATAACCTTAATGAACGATCTAATTAAGGACAACAAATTTTGTTAGAAGGAAAAATCTCTATCTGCAATTTTGTGGTTGTAGGAGACACTGAAAAATTCAAACTTGTGCAATTTTCGAAAATTCAGAGTTAACCGTGAAAATCGGACTTATGCCAGATGTAGGGATTGCACCTTGATATGGACTTGCATGACATTACGCATGCCAGACTTCTACAATGACCAGGAATCATTGAAGTGCATCAGTTACGCCTGCTCTCACAATTACTCTAGTAGTATGCAATACGGCATCGTTTGGGTAGCTGCCAACGTGCAACAGCAAATTAAAGACTTTTCGATGACTACTGCCTCATAGCCAATTGTCGTCATGAAGTCACACACACGCATGTCAAACGCATGGTGAATAACAAGGCTGTTGTAAAGTTGGAACGAGACAACACGCAAGGGTGGCATCTGATCGAGTGCATCTTGATTGAAAGAGGACGAGCCAATGTACGCTGAAGTGGTTCCTCAGTCAGCCGTACAGGGGAGTGAAGGCACCGACTCTTCGTCGTCAAAATATCTCGCTCTCTCCATTCAGCTGGTGCCCAGTCGAGTGTGTCTCAGGTGACCCAGACGAGTTGAAGGTCAGAAGATGCAACGGGTATGTAAGATACCTATTATCAATGTTATGTGGACTGAAATGGGCAAAGGACCGCAAGATTAGGAGCATGAAGACAAGTGTTATTGTTAGGGTAAAAAAATTGCATTATCCCTACGAAAATTTTGAAGAAATAATTTGGAGCGGTGGCGTTTAAGCATGTCTCAAAATGCGGAATTTTTAACTCATTTTCACAGAAACTTTTGAGGTTTCGAGAAACTTTATGACATCATTTGAAGATCATGTAGATTATTGCAGATTTTCAGTCTCCAAAGAAAGGCGAGAATTGTGGTTCAGAGTAGTAAGGAGAGAAAATTGGCAACTGACTTCAACTTCAGGAATATGTTCACAGCATTTCCGCCCTGAAGATTTTCATTTAACAGGACAATGTAGAAGTCTGGAAGAGGAAAGTATTCTATCAATGATTTCTTCATATCCCTCATATGTACAAACATCGCTCAGAAGTGAACGAACGTTGGTCGCTGTTGGCACATATGCGTCCAAATTAATTCAAATATGGCGCTATACTTGGAATTAAATTATTTTGACAATTCTTTCGGGTTAATTAAGAGCAAAGAACATATATTTCAAACTTGCTACGTCGGAGATTTGAGGGAGAATAATTTTCCCTCAAGTCGTCAGGTAACTTCTAAAGAAAATGGGGATTCTTTTCTTGTATGAAATTCTTTGAAACAAACTTTGAACTGCTTTCAAAAATGCCCGGGTGATCGCACCAGCCACCGTCCCGTTGCCATAGATGCCCTTTGCATATGCAGCATGGCACATTGTCGGCAGCTTCCCGGTATCAAACGCCTTTTAATTTAAGACGCGAAGAGATCTCATTGTTTGAAATCTACAGCCTAGCCGGCTAATGGGGGATAGTTTTGCTTGCGAAAAAACGAATTAAATACGCCCGTATTGAGTGAAATGAAAGTGAATTATAATCCACGATTGGTACTGTTCCGAAGATAATTGTGATTGTATTATCTGTGCCCGGTGCCCTGTAGCGCACTAGAAGCAGCAGTGGATGGCTGACGAAAATAATCAGTGAGGTAATGCTTTCCTTTCGACCAGACAACTGACAATTTCTTCAATGCTTAAGAATTTTCACGCCGGGACATGTTAAAAGTCTTGATGTTTTGATAGTTTGAGAAATCCGCCCTTGCGATCAGGGGGCAAACAGGCGAATATCAGTTTCCTCGGCGCAGTCTCTGCAAAAGCTCTTCCAACCATCTAATCTATATTTCGCAGCCTCAACGCCCACCAAAAGGGAAAAAAATTCAGACGGTGAGCATGGCGTTGAAGTGCCAAGAATTAAAGAAAGTGTCCA